AAACCAAAAATCCAAAAACCAAAAACAAAAAAAAAAAACTTTCCCCCCCAATCCAAACAAAAAAAAAATTAACCAACTTTCAAAAGGGGGGCAAAAGGGGGATAAACCCCCTTACATTTTAAAAAAATTTTATAAAATTTCGGGCCGAAAAGTATATTAAAAAAAAGCGGGCGCATTTACGTAAACCCGGCCAAATCCATTTTTTTAACCCAAAAACCATCCAAAAACCCAATTTAAAATTCAACTCGGGAAAAATCATAAAACTTTTAATTGGGCCAAGGGGGTTCCCCCAAGGGGAAAAAACTTTTCATAAAGATTTTTAAAAAATCGCGAGTATTTAAAAAAAGCGGGCGCATACGTATCTGGCCAAATCAAAAAAAAAATTTTAAATAAAAAAAAACAAACCCCAAAAAACAACAAAAAATTTTTTAACCTTTTAAAACCCCTCCAATTAACCAAAAACAAAAAGAAAAAGTTTTTTTCAGGGGGTACAGGGGTAAATTTTCCATAAAGACTTTTTTATAAAATCGCGAGTAAATCAACAAAACCGCGGGCGCATCACGTAGTCTGACCAAATCACATTTTATAACAACAACCATCAACAATAACTTCAACTCAACACATAACTAACTGCAGGGGACACAAAGATAACTTACATAAAGGCTTTTTTTATAAATCGCGAGTATATCAACAAAACCGCGGGGCGCAAAACGTAGTCTGGCCAAATCACATTTTATAGCAACAACCATCAACAATAACTTCAACTCAACACATCACTTACTACAGGGGGTACAGGGATAACTTACATAAAGATTTTTTTATAAATCGCGAGTATATCAACAAAACCGCGGCGCATCACGTAGTCTGGCCAAATCACATTTTATAACAACAACCATCAACAATACTTCAACTCAACACATCACTTACTACAGGGGGTACAGGGATAACTTACATAAAGATTTTTTTTTTATAAATCGCGAGTATATCAACAAAACCGCGGGCGCATCACGTAGTCTGGCCAAATCACATTTTATTACAACAACCATCAACAATAACTTCAACTCTACACATTACTTACTATAGGGGGTACAGGGATAACTTACATAAAGATATTTTATAAATCGCGAGTATATCAACAAAACCGCGGGCGCATCACGTAGTCTGGCCAAATCACATTTTATAAGAACCATCAACAATAACTTCAACTCAACTCATAACTAACTACAGGGATAACATACATATTTAAAGATATTTTATAAAGCGCGAGTGCATAAAATAGCATACATCAAGAACAATATAAACGATTAAATATAAAAGTTGTAAAATATCATCACACTTACTCTATTCACAAAGAACGTCTTCTCGGCGCGAGTTTCCCACCAAAATGACCTGTTAGCTCAAATGTTCACGTGGTCTGTAATCTGTGAAGCGTGAAAATTCGGCATATTCCGCCGTGCTTCTCAACTCTGACCTTTTCATTATTGAAATTTTATTGTTGGGCAATATTGGCCCGAGACATTTGAATATTCAATGACCTTTTATCGGCAATCATCGGAATCCGACATAACGGTATCGATTCAAATATGATCGAGAATGGGAAATCTTAATTTATAAGTACACAGGGGTGGCAGGATAAAGCCATATACGAAAACGCACCAACAGGAAAAACATTTGAAAGATAATATATGGCCTGTTAGAGTAGTGGTTAAGGTCTTTGTTTCGCATGCAGAAGGTCGTAAGCTCAAATCCCACAACGGGTGAAACTTTAATTAGGCCTTTGAATTAAATTATTCTATTTTTGTTTTACTTTTTAATTTATTTATTTTTTATATTTTTTTTAATTTATTAATAATCATTATTTTATATATTGTTCCATGTATTTCATTTACGAGAATGATATAGGTTATAATGTATGGTGGCTGATTTGGAACACTGCGCGTTGCGTTGTCGATAGCGACAACACAACCTATATCGTTATCGCCTTTTCGTCGCACTGACGTCTTGTCGCTTGGCTTATAAGCCAATCCTTTGATTTGAGCGACATCGCGACAACACGCCACACGACAACGCGAAGTTTGGCGTGCTTCGCTAGCTACAAGACGGCGCACAAAAACGTTCCAAATCAGCCACCATAGAAATCAACTTTATTTCTCAACGGGAATGATTTGGAGTGCGGGTAACTGATGCCTGCACTCCAGTTAACTTACTGTGCATGTATATACTCCGCTCCCCTTCAAACCCCCCAAACAGAAGGGGGAACATCCCCCTTCTGGCAACCCCCTGGTGTATCTTTTGGTTGGGGGCCGCGACGAAAAAAAGGTCACTTTTTTAACAACATTTCTCAAACAAAAACAACTGTTGGGGACCTAAATAAGGCATTTTTTCACCATTTGAGACAACAAAAGGGGGGGGGATGAAAAAGGCGTTAAAAGGCGTGTATATAACGTAATGGGTTAAAGTAAATTCGGTAGTGTCTGAGAAAATAAATGAAATTACTTAAACCAAATTCTGAGAGCGACAATACCATAATACCTTTAATCTGTTGTCAATCAGGGTTACAAACAAAAGTTAAATACTTATCTATTAAGAATTTTGTATCAATTATCCTTTCTAGCCTAAAGATTACATTATATAGCAGCTCAAAACCTCGATATTTAGGTTCATAAAAGAAAACAAGTAAAACAAAGATGGCAATTACAATAAAAATAACTATGAGAATGTTAAAAAGTAATATAATACTACTTTAATCGTGATTTTAACATGAATTAACATCTTGCGATATTTAACGGTAGTGTTGCGACATTTAACGGTAAGGGAAATTCGTGCGACATTAAGCGTTAACATTGCGACATTTAGCGGCAAATGATTTTGCGGCATGTAGCGGCGGTTGCGACATTTGGCGGCAATGGTGCGACATTTGGCGGCAATGGTGCGACATTTAGCGGCGTTGCGACATATAACGGCGCCACACTCATCTCGGGGAAGTAATTACGGGAACAGTTTCTCAGTTTTCCCATTGAAGTTAAATCTCGTTATAATTATGAATTAATAAATAATCAGAGAAACCATAGCATGACAAAACCTAGTTCTGGTTTCAAGAACTTAAGCCGTTTATTAAACATTTTTTGTTGGTCTGATGCAGCTTTAGACGTCCTCATAAATAAGAACGGTCTACGCTGAAGACCTTAAGTAGAGAAAACCAACAGTATGTTTTTGTCACACATAATAATCTCTTTTCTATCAATCAAGAAAATAGGTATTTAACAGAATGCATGACATTAAAAATGAGCCGTGTCATGGCAAAACCAACATAATGGGTTTGCGACCAGCATGGATCCAGACCAGCCTCCGCATCCGCGCAGTCTGTTCAGGATCCATGATGTTCGCTATCAGTTTCTCTACTTGTTATAGGGTTTGTAAGCGAACAGCATGGATCCTGATCAAAGAAACATTCGAGGACTAACAGGTGAAGTTGTGAAATGCTCAATATGTTTCGACAGAAAAAGTCGTCACCTGAGCAGTATGTTGTTGATGAATATATAAAGATATACAGAAAATATTCATAACAATGGACAACTAACGAAAACTTGGCAAGAATATATTTGTAGGTGGGAAACTATATTATATCTTTGTTTCCTCCAACAGACATATATTATATCAAAATTATATTAGAAACAAACAATGCATTGTTTTGTTAAGAAAATGAACTGCTTCACCAGTGTCTATGATAATTTCTCATTTGGATATTTGCATTATAAAAATGTATGTCCTGTGATCAGCAGAAAATTTCATTGTAAACGAGGGTAATCATCGTTGGGGACATTTTACGAAAATTGGTCAAGATCTTTTTAAATTTACTTTCACATGCTATACCGGGCATATTTAGTTGAACTATAAGACTTCGTGTAAATAGTTTTTTTCCAGTATTGCCTGTCATTTCATATGCTCAATTTACGGTTATGCTTTATATGAATATACCTGTATAACTGAAACAGTGTTCTTGTAAACATTACATTTTCAACCAACAGTGTTTAGTTGGAATCAGACTGCCATCAACATTACCTGAGGATATAATTGAGCCGCGTCACGACAAAACCAACATAATGCGTTTGCGACCAGCATGGATCCAGACCAGCCTGCACATCTGCGCAGTCTGATCAGGATCCATGCTGTTTGCATACAGACCCTATAACAAGTAAAGAAACTGATAGTGAACAGCATAGATCCTGATCAGACTGCACGGATGCGCAGGCTGGTCTGGATCCATGCTGGTCTCAAACCCATTATGTTGGTTTTGTCGTGACACGGCTCATATATTTTTCAAGGCATCCTGCACTTGGCCACAGAGGCCCCATATTGTAATAAATAAATACACAAGGCTCAAAATAATCAACAAAACGCAACGATTTTTTACCACTTTATATTCAGAATAAATCCCCAATCATTTATAACCCCCAAATAATACATGAAAATAACTCTTGCAATAAATTAAACAATCTCATTTAAATACAATATAGCACATTATACATTTTATAAATGGAATTTGTGACTTTCTACTTATCATTAACTTCACAAAATGTAGATCTAGAGTTGTATATCAATTATTTGTTTTCAGCAATATATAGACTATAATTTTCATTAATGTAGCATAATTCTAGTAAATGAAAATCTTCTATGTTAATAACTTCACATAATGTAGAGTAATATATTGATTATTCCATCAAATAATGTAGCATATTCAAGTAATCAAAAATCAGTTTTTCAAAAATAACCTTTCAATTTTACTTAAAAAGCCAAGTCACACTTTTACAGTTAGCTTTGATTTGGTACTTGATTATAAGTAAACTGATAATTTTTTCGGTCTGATGTCAATTTTCAAGCTTTTACCAAATGAAGAAATGCTCAGAAATGCTTAAACAAGCATAATTTTAAGCCATGCCTATGTAGAGCCAACAGCCATCTGCAATTAAGATGTTTCCTTCTTGCATAAAAAAAATTCAAAAATTTCTGCATAACATAAATTAGCAGCAGTGAGGACAAAAGCACCAAAGTTACAAACAAATTTTAACCAGTGATAGACAGAAATTAGTATTCCAATTTGATTCTTTCTGGAAAAACACACAAAAAAACACCACAGAAAATATGTCAAAATATTCATAACAATTACACAAACCAAAATAGTTATCCAAAAGCAAAAAGAGAAAATTGTTGAACAACATAAAAGGTAAAAGGAAAATAAATTGCTGTTTTTCTAACTATTGTGTTATATATAAATTTTGTATATATTGGCATCAATGATCTAATACTATGAACTAAAGATAAATTTGTTTTAATTCCATTATAAGGAGGTGATATATGATATAAATGTATTTATATTAGGCAAGTGTGAGTGAATAAAACTGTAAATTTTATAACTATAAACTACAAGTAACTACAGTTTACATGATTTCCTGTAATATCTTGACAAGAAAAAAAAAATCTGTAAATAAAGTAACATTTAAACACATACCAAAAAGCTCTTAGAAATATAACATAACTTTTTTTCACGGGTGTGCAATACCTATCTTATGGAGCCACAAAAGCGCCAGTGGTGTGTGCTAAAATAGCATATAACATTGCAAGTATCTACAAAACATACAAAGCTGCACCAAAAAAATAAGTGGATTTCTTTAAGTTTGTCCATATCAATAAACAAATGTATATTTCAAACATTTTGACTTTAAACCTGCTTATAAGCTGAATTAAACAGCACCCTATATGCTGCCAGTCAGATTATATAACGGGAACAGTTTTGAAATGTCCAGGACAAACACTTCATGATAAATTGTTCGCAAAAACAAGTCTTGCATAGAACCTTCTACTTTTGTCTTTTTCTTTCTACATTTTTGAAAAGCAAAGTTAAAGCGAATTAAATTTTTCTCCTGTCCTGGTTCTCCATTAACCATACTTTGTCCATGCATTTTTAACCAGCTGCAATGGTGTTATATAAATCCAAAGCATAAAGAAAGTTATCAATTACTGAAGTCCCAATATTTCGATAGTAATTGATCTACAGTAAGTTATGTTATCTATGTATATAAAGTCATTCATAATAATGTTAAGAGAACTTATCTATAATTAACAAACAGGTAGATAACATGGTTAAATAAATAAATAGTCTGTTAGCATAGATTACTAATATATTGAGCCACGACATGACAAAACAATGCGTTTGTAACCAGCATGGATTCAGACCAGCCTGCGCATCCGTGCAGTCTGATCAGGATCCATGCTGTTCTCTATCAGTTTCTCTACTTGTTATAGGGTTTGAAAGGGAACAGCACGGATCCTGATCAGACTGCGCGGATGCCCAGGCTGGTCTGGATCTATGCTGGTCGCAAACGCATTACGTTGGTTATGTCATGACGCGGCTCAATTATAAATATATATCACAGTGTTACATGTACATGGAATGGATATTTGTGTGTACATGACAGATATACAGGAAAAAACAACAAGTACATTGTTAATACATTATAATATAGGAGTATGACTCAATATGATTGTGAACACATTTTTGTCTACTAGTATAATGGAACAAAAATGAGACATGAAAATATAGAAAATAAATATGTTTTTCATTACTTGTTTTTAAAGTAAAGTCCTGTATAAAAACGTTGTTTTTAAACATCAAACTTGATTTCTTAAACTTACCAACTACCACCTGAAGTCTATATAATTAATGACTTTACTGAAGTAGAGAGACAGTTATTTTCTCAAAGGAAAAATAAAAGATAAAAAAAAATAACCGAAGCTTTAAAGTATCACTAACTTGTTTTTAAAGAGATATTGGTTGGGCCTAATCTAACAAGTGTAAAAGCATTTTGTATTTTTTTCTTACCATCTTGAAAATTCTGAGACATCATACCACCAAAAAGCAAAATTGTATAAGCTGTCCGCAATAATTTGTCAGATCAAATATCATGTTATTATTGGTTTCTTTACGATAAACTGGTTTTGTATATATAAATATCCAACTACAATAAAATCAAATTGTTGGTTCACATACAATATCAAAATAATGATAAATGTTTATTTAAGTATACATCCTCTTCGTAATACTAAAAACTTGGAAGAATGGATCGACAATGTAACAAAAAAAAAACTGTTTTAAAAAAATCAGTAAAACATATCCCTAAACAGAACTTAATATAAACAAAAATAATAACTGCATGTAAAGCATAACAGAATAAAATAAAAACCCTCTTTAATAAATTCATAATAAAACAAAATTCAGTAACAATGTATCAGTCTTAAACAAACAAATAAAAAACATGTAAAAAGGACACATTTTCCAAGAACATTTCTTCAAATCTTCAATATAACCTTCTTTAAAGGATTTGTCCATCAATCAATCTGTCAAAACCATTCATCATTTTAGGGGGAGAAAAATCAAAATTTTAATAATGTACTGACAGAACAAGAAACAGTGCAGACCATGATCAGACAATACAGATATACAGGCTGACCTTGGTCTGCACTGTTTGCAGTAGGCTTCAATAAATCCCAGTAAAACAGATGACAGATAAAACCAAACAGAACAATTTACTATTTTCAATAAAGTTTTGCCAGCCTATTTAATGTCATGACTCGTCCAAAATTTGAGTTTGGAACAGTTCATTTGTATCTGAAGAGGATTTCAAATTTAAAACTTTTAAAATCAAGCAGCCAAATGAAATGAGTCTAGCCAAACTGCACAGATGTAAAGCTGACCCAGTTCCTGACATAGGCAAGTCTTGTTTACCCTGACTTACAAAGATGAAGTTTTATACTTGCCAAGATCTTGCATTCATTCTCAAACACATTTCCAACATTAACACATACAACTCCTAAGATATGTAATATATGATTTGAGGTTATTTTACACACTAAATCTATATTTTTTCACAAGGCAAAAAACTAAAATGTTTGTTTCCCATCTCCCGGATAAACATGGTAAAACAATCTTTTATTTCCATTTGTTTAAAAGTAAAGACTTGATACAACACATTTATCTGGTCAGCCTTGGGCTTAAAAAAGATCTAGCTAATTTAAGTGAGTTTTAAACTTCAAGACAGCAAACAAACATCAAAATGTTTTGGCCTTAAGATCACATACAAATTTTTTCGTTACACAAGATACCAGTCCATATGGAATGTTACAGATATATTTACAAAATATACAAAAACTTATACACATTTAAACCCTGTATAAGCCAATGGCATAGTTACATCACATAGGTAAGTCACAGCCTTTTCCACTTTTTACAAAATAATTATCTATCAAAATCATTTCAATAATAAAATATAACATGTCCATAAAAAAACAACAAAGTACAATAAATACAGTTTTAAAATCCCTCTTTTTTTCATCAATGATAGATTCAATAAAGAATTATCTTCTTCACTAGTGTCAAGACATTGTCAGAATTTCACAATATGACCTTCTGATTATGACCTTGTCATTACACCAACATATATTTAGTGTATTGATGTGTACATCAGCATGTTTTAAAAAAACAACAACAACAGTTCTTTCCACTTGAGATTATCCCCCAGCTGTACAGTTTATCAAGTGTGTGCATACAATGTCAAGGTTACATAAATGACCTTGAACTTTGCAGTAAATAACCTTGAAATTTGAATGAATGACCATGACCATGACATTCAAATTTAATGACCTTGAAATGATGCAGATCTTCTGTAAATGAAATGATTATTCTACTAGATCATTAAGCTTTAGCCTCATGTTCCTGACTGTCTAACTCTAATCTGAAAAAAGAAAAGAAATGAGTTACACCAACAGTATGATATAATTTAATTTTATACTAAAATTAATTTTAAATATTTGTTGAAAATGCATTCATTATAATATAATTTAGCGCTTCATGTCTGAATTGTTTGAACTGTGAAACAATACGCCTAACATTTACCATCTGTCTAAACCAGAGAAAGTCAAGACTTATAAGGAAATAAGTTGCTTTTTTCATTGATGCTTGTAAAAAGGTATGTTTAATTTTTGTTTGTAGAGGTTATGTTTTAGTTTTATTTGTAGAGGTAATGCTTAATGTTCATTTGTAGAAGTTATACTCAACTTTTTGTTTGGAGAGATTATGCTTATATTATGTTTGTCGAGGTTATGTTAAAGTTTCATTTGTGTGGGTAATGCTTTATGTTTCTTTGTAGTGATTATGCTTAACTTTGTACACACGATTCAAAATTTGATCTCTTTTTTATTTTATAGAACTTAATTCAATCAAAAATTTTTGATCTCTTTTTTATTTTAAAGAACTTACTAGCCAAAAATGGACAAAGTTTCAAGCATAAAAATGAAAATTCTACAAAAAAAAATTCTAATTATTTTTTCATCGTTTATTTTTCAGCTAGCATATAATTTCATCAACATACCTAAGATTACCATTTGGTGAAGGTAGAGAGTCATGACTTTCCCCTAGATCACCTTCATGTGATGAATTTACCAGTCCAGCTTTGATATCCCCCGCCGTCTTTGTACCTGGATGACCATCGGCTGCAGGCGATCTTGGACTTGACATACTGGACATAGAGGTAACCGAACCTGTGCCAGATGTCTGCCTGGACCGAGACCTTGACCCACCCTCTGTTTGTATCTGCATTTTATACTTATAGGTCTCTTCTGTGCTTGCTATAGTTCCTGTAAATATTCAACAAAACATTTGTCTATGAGTAATAATTTTTTGGTCACACTGATACTGTTAAGGTACCATTGCAAATTTCAGGAGTTGAAGAGTATGACCACATAATTATCACCTAATCGCAGTAAAGAGTTAACTCCTATTAAATTTTATTAGGAATTAACCTTTTTCTGCACTAAAATGACACAGAGTTGCTCTCATTTCATTATTTTAGGTATAAAATGGCAAACTACAAACCCTCCAAATATTTTCATATTGATTTTAATAACTTCAATATTTTAACACTTATAAAACATATGCAGATTTTTCCTTCAATAGTAAAAAATTTGTTGAATTGCAGGGCAAAATAAGTATGGCCATTAGTAAGCAACTTTAATTTTGACCACTTATCTTACATTTGACTGAGCGAGAAATAAACTTTAAATCCTCATTTTCTTTTTCAAAATGTACAATTTTGATCTTTGAGAAAAAAATACCCTGCAGATTATGATTAAATTGTTAATGAAAAGTGATTAAATAAATACCTGAGACAAGGTTAAAGGTTCTGCCTCTAACAGCATCTTTAGGGGGTGGCGAAAACCAATTCATCATTGAACCTATCATAGGAATCTGCCTTAACACACCCTGAAATATAAAAACATCAGTATTCACAACAAGTCATACATGTGCTTATTTTTGAAACAGCATGTTGTGAAGGGGCTTCTCAAGTTATGATTTCACAGTTAGAAACACCCACGCACATGTCAAAATTTACTAAAAATAGTTATTACAATAACTGTCAATATCAGGTGAAGGGTGGCTTCGAATTTATTACAAAATTGTGAAACATTTGTCATTATTTATCACTTTAGAATTCATTACCCTTAATTGGATTAAATGCTATAATACTTGAAAGAAAAGGCGTACTTTACATCTGTACAGATTACATACATAAAGCTCAATAAAAGTTATATGACAGGTAAAATACCTCTTGCATAAGTTTATGTTCATTCTCCACCTGTAGATCTTTGTTGGCTTCTTCGATTCCTTTCCTCACTAACTCAGACATACTTTCAAAGTACTGCAATAATAATATATTTACATTTATATACATACGCTAAATGGGAACCTACCAAAACATATTAAATATCAAAATGCTTACAGATGATTAATTTAACAAAATCCTAAGTTGTTTTTCATTTTTATTATATACCTTATATTAAAATTTAACAGCCTTGGAAATGGATAAAAAAATAAATAAAAGCAAGCTTTAAGTATCCTGTGCTTTTAACTTAATTCCAATAATCTGTAAAACATATTCCAACTGTCCTGATATTTCTTTTCCATCAATCTACATAGCTAAATAAATGATAAATTTTCAGTGTAACAACTTGACTTTCACCTTTCTCCAAAACAAAATCTGTAAAATATTATTAAGTGTACATATGGTTTAATTTAGTATCACACTGCTGTGGGTTTGCGTATGGCTTAACTGAAGGGAGGCAAGACTTACCTTTGAAGCTTCCTCAACTTGTTTGCCGGTTTCCTGGACCATACCAATCAATTCATGTACATCAGTTTCGTCCGTTATCAAACCAAACTTAACACATGCTATCTCATTGTCTGCATAACCTAGATAAAACAACAAAAACCTGGTATTTACATATTGTTGTTGTACAATAATATCTTCCTAACCGCTCTCATGTTCTTGCTTGATTACTTATTACTTCAAGTTAGTTGATTTATTTCAATATGGCATTTGTGTATATATGTTGTGTGTACACTGTGTATATGTAAAATGTTTATATATTGTAATTTTGTTGTGTACATCAGCTGAGATCCACATGGGGAAGATTTGGAAACCGATTGTGTAAGCTTCGTAAAAAAAAGCCATTACTTACTACTAAATTTCAAACACAAGCCACAAATGATTATCTCACATTTAGATAATGTATCAATATCTCATAGTTATTTGACTTACACAGTTATTTTAATTTAATTTATATTTAAGTGTACAAAGCTTAAAAAAAACTTCCCAAATATCTGTATGAAAGAAACATTCAAAGGGAATGACCCATGAGTACATTAGCTCTCCCTTTTCTATAATTAATCAAGCTAATAGTTGAGTTATCCATAGTTTCTTGCATATCAGACAGGATCATCTACTGTTTACACTGGTGCTAGAAAAACCCCTCTTCCCCCCAATGGGAGACAAGTCTGATGTTTTAAATTACAGTCTAACTTTCCCATGCGACCACGTGTATTAAGCGACTTTTGTCTTAAACGACCACTTTAAATTCCCCCCGATCATTTTCTCTCTATATCTTTAATGTATTAAGCGACTTTTGCTCAACGCGACCAGCGACCGCTAATTAGTCACCTAATTGACATTAATCTTTTCATTAAACGACCACTTTTACCTGTCAAGTAATTGTGTTTTTAGAGAACGCCACCTCGTTATGTCACAAGTGTCAGCAATCAAAACACAACAATAAACGTGTGAAAAACTCTATTTCCCATACCGTTTAAGCGTATGCAAATGAAGTTAAGTATACGCGTGACGTGTATTATCCAATAATATCGGATAAACAATGCAACGCTCCGCCCATACTGAGATGGTGTATACGCTTCGCTTGTTGACATTTAGACGGCATTGAATTGACCTTGAACTTGATCAGCCATTAAATTAATCGTAACAAATAGATGTAGTTTGTTTATTTCAAATGAAAAAAAAATGCACAACAGAAAACATCTTCACTAATAGGGTTTTCGTGTTGGAGACAAGGAAAAACAACGGAGAAGTTAAAAAATTCTGGGAAAAATGTCAAACATGTACGTAAGGGATCAAAACTGTTTTGTCAATAAATATCAGAACGTTATTTTTACATTTGCATCCGTTTAGATTGTCGGAGCGTACTTATTATTCAACATTTATATCAAAATGAAGTTGAAAAACAGTCCCATCGAATAAAAAAGATGTCATTTATAAATTTTGACTTTCATATCATGCTGACTGTCTTAAGAGACCGTTTCATTAAGCGACCGTTTTTGGTGTTTCCCTTGCCCGGTCGCTTAATACACGTTTGACTGTATGTCATTCCAACGAACCTTTTATGAATGAATAAAGTTCTTAGTATGATGTCATTTTGCCGTTATGAATGAAGTTGTAAATTAATATGTTACTATAAGTAACAAATACTTAATGAAAATATCAGTTTTCGTAATTTCTATCCGAAATACGATTAATGTAATATGTAAGAAAAAGAATCAAACGCCGGCTGTCATTACGAACAGGAATATCTAGCTCGGGAATATCTAGCTCGTAGGTAACTGTTTAGTGGAAATTCAGCAGAGCCTTGTTACCGCCGTAAATAGTTACCCTCAAGCTAGATATTCCAGACTGTACCGCCAGCCAGAGTAAGATTCTTAAAATAGAGCCTGGTCAGTCTGTATGAATGGCCAGGTTAGCCTGGCTTGACCCTATACTAATTACACAGGCTAATCACTTTCGATTCCAGCAGATTAAAGGTTACATGAAACTATTTACCCAATGAAAATGCGCTGTCTGTATCTTTGAGTTTATGCACCAGCTCAATGTTCAGATTGTTGACCTCTTTCTTTGCTATCTCATCACTTAAATCTAATCCTTCCTTCACATAGGCACTTGGAATGTATCTGAAATATTTCAAAATAGAGCAGATGCTGTATTTTGCAAATCAAACCTTTTACTATTATGAAATTGAAGGTTTTTTACAAAGTGTCGGTAGTTGTAAATTGTTATTTAAAAATCTTCGTAATGTTGAACTATCAATTTCAATGTGAAGTTAATCATGTTATAGTTTTAACAAGCAATTATCATAGTATTGCAAGCAATCCATAAGTCCCCTACCGATAAGAGCCCAAGCAACATTCTGAAGGGCCATTGGCCATTCACTTATGTTTCTATTTTAAGTAAATTTGTTGAAAAAGTTCTTTAAAAGTGATCACAGTGAACAGACAGACAGACGGACTGAAGGACAGTCTAAAGTTATTTTTTAAACATCCCTGTTATCAAAATATAACATTTTAAAAGCAAAATTTAAAAAAAAAAGAGATAACGATGTCATACATGATGTGAGTGTAACAAAGAACAATTAGTAATGAAGGTATGAATATTGAATATTTATTTTGAATTTGAAGTAAATGAAAGTTAAAAGAACAAATAGGAAAAATTAAAAGTTTAAGGAGGAGATAATTCTGGAAATATGGATGCTAGATTTATAAACCTTGTCATATTATAATGATGTGGGAGTTTGAAGAAAATTCTATCATGATTGAAGAAGTTGGAGTAAAAATTACCAATTTCTCAAAAAAAAAGTCTAAGTTCAAAAGGGGCATAATTCTGGAAATAGTCTTGCTAGAGTATTGAACACTCACAAATGTTGAGTGATAATAAGAAACATTTATATGAAGTTTGAAGTAGATATGTTAAGAAAAAAAGAAGTTATTAAAAAAAAAATGTTTTTTTTTCATGAAAATTTTAAGTTCAAGGGAGGTAATTCTGATAAATTTTGTGCTACAGTTGTAAACTTTGTCACATATGATGTTGCTGATGACTAGCAACTTACTTTTAAATTTTGAAGAAAATACCTTAAGAAATAAAGAACTTATAGTGAAAAAACTTAAAAACTAGAATCAGAAATCTTGAAATTCAGTCTATTTGTTGCCATAGCAACCAGAATTTTCAACACAGGAAGATAAGAAAAGGATGTGCATAATTTCCATACTGCCATCTACCCATATGTCAAGTTTCATAAAAATATTTTCGATACTTTTTGCGTTATCACTGGATCCAGGTTATGTGTAAAATCTGCCATATTTTCAGTCTATTTGTTGCCATAGCAACCAGAATTTTCAGCATAGGAAAAAAAGAAAAAAACATGCATAATCTCCATACTGCCATCTATCCATATATCAAGTTTCATAAAAAAAATTTCAGTACTTTTTGCGTTATCGCGGGATCCAGGTTATGTGTAAAATTTGCCATATTTTCAGTCTATTTGTTGCCATAGCAACCAGAATTTTCAACATAGGAAGAAAAGAAAAAGACGTGCATAATCTCCATACTGCCATCTATCCATGTACCAAGTTTCATTAAAATATTTTCAGTACTTTTTGTGTTATCGCGGGATCCAGTTTTGTGGACGGACGGACTGACGGACGGACGTACCAACTTTTGATATTTAAGAGGTAAATCAGCTCATAAACTACACCTGGACCAAAGTCCATAAGCAAAATCAGCTCATAAAATCAAAAAAATAGCTCTTAATTTGAATTTTATGAGCTTTTGTTCTTTATTTAACTACGGAATGAAGCTCATAAATATCAAATGTTTGCTCGGACGGACAGACGAACAGACGGACGGAGGGTAAACCTAAAGTCCCCTCCGGTAAACCGGTAGGGGACTAATAATTGTATCTAGATTAATCACTTACTAAAGTAAAACTTATTCTTGGTCACTTAATGTCAATAAATCACTTGATGCTAATGTAAATACCATTTATATTAATGTAATTATCAATAACAATATACATGTATATTGGTACATTAAAAAAGAAATTTCTAAATTTATTATATAGATCTATCAAGTATTTTGCCTGTGACTTTGGTATAAATAATTTAAAGTTAGGATTTAAGACAATTGAAATTGGGCAAAACAATTTCAGAGAAAAAAAATTTGAGTTATGAAAATAACAAAATAATTCTAAAACATATAAAGAAAACTTTTTCAAATTTAACCCATTACTTCATGAGCATTTTGTGAAAAATGGCTGTTTTCATTGAAAAGTCTCCCGTTACAAGTTTAAATTGCTATAATACTATAAAAACTGCTTCAACACTAATCAAACTTGGCACAAATGTTGACTGGACCATTGCCCTTGCAACAGCATGCTCAGGCTTAAATTTTCTGTTACCATGGTAACGAGGGGACATCTCAAAATTGCCAAAAATCACTATTTTGTGTTGATTTTTTCCATCAAAATTGAATTCAAAGTGCTGCAACTTCTCAATGGATTGAGATAGAGTCAAATGCTTTTCAGCGTTGGTTACACGTTACCTTATGATCAATCTGGGGTCATTTACAGCCTCTCACAAGTCCAAAATTTTCTTGGCGATGAGGGGGACTCCGCCCCCCTTCAAACCCCCCAAACAGCGATGAGGGGGACTCCGCCCCCCTTCAAACAGAAGGGGGCACATCCCCCTTCTGGCAACCCCGATGTATCTTTTGGTTGGGGGGCGCGCCGAAAAAGAGGTCACTTTTTTTAACAACATTTCTCAAACAAAAACAAGTGTTTAGGGCCTAAATAAGGCATTTTTTCATCATTTGAGACAACAAACAAGATTGCATTTGAGAAAAATGCTATGCCACCGCATGGTTCAAATTTCATAGCTGTACACCAAAGGACAAGAAAGTAGGTCACATCATCAAAATCTAGGTCACCTGATATCAAAGTTCAATTTTACAACTAAAATTGTGCACATGGTCAAAATGTCATTGCTGTACATCAAAGGACAAGAAAGTAGGTCACTGTCCCCTTGGGCAAGGTATAATTTTGACCCAAGGGTTTAATTCAAAACAATTTTGATACAGGTCCACCAAACAACATTTCAAGTCAAATATCTAAGCTATAGCTTTCTCCCATTCAGAAAACATTTGTTTTATTTTCTGTTTTTACTATGTGTACATAATGAGAATCACTGCCCCCGGGCAGGGCCAATTTTGACACCAGGGGAAAATTTTGAACAACTTTGGTAGACGACCTATAAATGATATTATATATCAAACATCAAAGCTCTATGCCTTGTACCTTCAGACAAAAATATTTTTTATTTTTTCACTATATGTACATAATGAAAATCAATGACCCCGGGGCGGAACCAATTTTGACCCCAGGGCTATAATTTGAACAATCTTGCCAGAGGTTCACTACACAATGTTTCATGCAAAATATCTTAACTCTAGCCTTTGTAAATTTAGAGAAGATGATTTTTTAAGTTTGTACTATATACATATAAGGAAAACTATGGCCACCAGGGGGCGGGGCTAATTTTGACACAAGAGGCAAAACTTTGAATAACTTTTGTAGAGTACCTTCAGATGATATAATTTAACAAATATTAAAGCTCTAAGCCTTGCACCTTCAGACAATAAGATTTATTTATTTTTTACTATATGTATATATTGAAATCAATGACCCCAAGGGCGGGGGCAATTTTGACCCCAGGGCTATAATTTGAACAATCTTGCTAGAGGTTTACTACACAATGTTTCATGCAAAATATCTAACCTCTAGCATTTGTCAATTGCTAGAAGAATTTTTTTTTGAAGTTTTTACTATAATTTTTTACTATATACATATAAGGAAAACCAATGACCCCCGGTGCGGGGCCAATTTTGACCCCAGGGCTATAATTTGAACAATCTGGGTAGAGGTCTACCAGACAATGCCTTATGCAAAATATATAAGCTCTAGGCCTTTTGGGTCTTTACAAGAAGGTGTTTTAAGTTTTTACTATATGTACATATAGTGAAAATCAATGACCCCGGGGCGGGCCGATTTTGACCCAAGGGCTATAATTTGAACAATCATGGTAAGGGTCTACCAGAAGATGCCTTATGCAAAATATCTAAGCTCTAGGCCTTTTGGGTTTTTACAAGAAGGTATTTTAAGTTTTTACTATATGTACATAGTGAAAATCAATGACCCTCGGGGCGGGGCCAATTTTGACCCCAGGGCTATAATTTGAACAATCTTGTTAGAGGTCTACCAGACAATGCCTTATGCAAAATATCTAAGCTCTAGGCCTTTTGGGTCTTTACAAGAAGATTTTTTAAATTTATTCTTATAATTCCTTTTGGTTGCCATGGCAACCAGATTTCTGCATGGAATGAAATTCTTTGAACAACTTTGGAAGCCCTTCACCCAAGGAACAATCCTGCCAAGTTTGGTTGAAATTGGACTAGTGGTTTTTCACAAGAAGATTTTTTAAGTTCACTATATAATCTATATAACACACACACAAACACACACACAAACACACACACACACAGGTGAATCGCTATATGCCACCGCATCGCAGATGCTGCGGTGGCATAAAAAGGGGGGGGGGGGGGGTGAAAAAGGCGTTAAAAGGCGTGTATATGAATTAATGGGTTAAATAGATAGTAACTAAGATAGTAGTCAAGTTTCAGCTTTTCAGAATAACACATTGACAAATCAATTAAGATAAAATACATACTGCACTGCCCCCAATCCGGCCCAGTTTCCAACTTCAACAAGTTTCAGATTCTCCTGTTCAGCTGTGATCAGTCGGAATTTCTCGTAGTTCAATGTTGTTGCATCTAATATTGCCTATATATATAACACAAATATTTAGGTCTAAATAAAACAAAGGAAAGGTCTATCCAATTTTGTTTTTGGTTGAATATCTGACTACAGTGTCACTTTAAGAGTCTGCTGTGAGTACCTTGGTTGAACCACATACCATTATTGCTTGGTAGCTTTTTCAAATAAAAGTTTTTAAAATACCTACTTCGATTGAACTTACGTAAAAGCATTAATGTTTAATGATGGATTGCAAATAGTCATGATAAGCAATTGTTGGTAAATGGGCTACATTAAAAGCTTTTGCGTGAGTTTTGCAACAATGCTGCAGCATTTATAATATCTCGCCTTTTTATTCAAAAGAATCACCAGTATAACATTACATATTATAAACTAATAATACTTATAAAAGTTTATTAATATTCTGATAGAATACTTACAATTTGATTACACAGGCATGCTATAAATCCCTCTAAATGTTCTTTTTGTGTTCCAATCACTACAAAATAATATTTTTAAAAAATCTGTAAATATTGAAAGATATAATTACAAGAGCAATTAAATACTGCTATCAAAGTTGCTGTGGTAGCAAATTGGCTCTAAATTATTAAATAGCCTCAAGAAAATCACTATTGGCTAAAACTTGTGAAAAGTATGATTTTTTCAGAATCTCCAGTCTTAATTTATTTGAGCCGCGTCACGACAAAACGAACATAGTGCGTTTGCGACCAGCATGGACCCAGACCAGACTGCGCTTCCGAGCAGTCTGATCAGGATCAATGCTGTTTGCTTACCAACTCTATTACAAGTAGAGAAACTGATAGCGAACAGCATGGATCTTGATCAGTCTGCGCTGGTCGCAAACCCATTATGTTGGTTTTGTCATGAAGCGGCTCATTTGATTTTCTATCTACAACTTCACCCTTTACCGCATGTTATCTCAACATATGGGACACAGTCTACTTTTTGTGAGACATTGACAGGTTTATACTTGTAACTTTCCTCTCAAATGAATAGCCCATGTTGACCTAGCTAGTAATCTATACTGAAGTTACTGATACTTTAGAAAACTTTAAAATATGTTGAAACGAATCATCTAGTGTATTTTGAAAAGAATAAAATTTAAAATTACAGCTAAAATAACAGCTCATACCATAAAAAATCTGAATACGTTTTCTTCACTTTTAATATGCAGTAGCAACAATAGTTTTTCTTTGCTAGATGGAAGAATATTCTTGTCTTTTTTAAGGAGGATGGGGGTTAAACTTCAAGTTATGCCAGATACTTCAAAAGTTACACAACTACTTTCAAGCTTAGTAGGTGGAGAAAGGTCTAAAGTGCTCCTCTGTTTTCTATTTCAGGCAGAATAGAAACACTAATATTTTGTTTGCTAGATGAATTTCTTCCTCGCATCCATGAATCCAACATTCCTGTCAACATTCAAACCCACTGAGGCAGTGATATTCACCTTATATAACAAAGGCCCATAAAATGTCTCTTCCCAATGGAAATTTATTTTAAAATCATGCAGTTTTCCAAAAAAAATTGAACTTACCCCTGCTTTTTTACTTCCTAAGTAATCAATTTTAGCAATAATTCTTCCCAAAATCAAGAACAGACTAAAGTCTATTCCCAATTAGGTGAGAAAAAACACTTCAGAGGTTACAGGCATGTGATTTGACGTCGGTAAAATAAACCACTTGGCTACAGAGGCAGAACAAAGGTGAATAAAGCAATAACTTACATTGAGCAGATTCTAACGGTGCAAACTTCATACATACACCTTCCCTCTCTAGCTCTACCATTGTTATCTCTACATATGGGTTCTCTGTCTGCAGTGTCTCTCCCAACTGTTAAATGTATAATAGAATTAATTCACTTTATCAAAGAAATTAGAAATAGGCTGAATGGAGATTCAACTGAATATAGTAAAATTAAAAGGATGAACTGTCAAATGTATAATAAAAGAATTTTTCTATATCAAAAAAATAGAAATAGACTGAAAAGGAAATTAAAAGGATGCTGGATGACAATAGGTCTGCGTTGAGATAATTACATTCTCATATATAATGTAGATATAAAATAAGGACTACATTTTAATATTGTTTTATTGTACATGTATGACTATTCATTTCTATAAATATTACTGTGCATCAAAATTTTCTGATACAAAATTTTAAGATAATAATTATATTTATTTCACAGACAATAATTTTTTAATGATTTCACATTCAGTAAAACATTGCTTATAACAAGAGCAACTTTAAAACTTTCCTTCTCCACTATTCTGAACTAGAACCAAACTTATGTCAATAGCAGAGCTCAAAATTAACAAATCATCACTTAGTGCAGTAATAGGTTAACCCCTTTTAAATTATAGAAAGTTAACCCTTTACTGCCCTAAAGTGAAGAAATATTGGCCAGAAGGCAGATAACCTTATCACAATTTTTTTTTTCAGTAGACATCAAGTGGGCCATAAACCAGATCACTGTAATTCTATAACTAGTGAGTATAAGAAGTTAATGTACCCATATATTGAGTGAGTTGTAGTATGTCTTCTTCTTTATAACCTCCTCATCATCGTCATCTTCCACATCCATTGTTGTACCAACAGCATATGGAGCAACTGCCACATCTGGAAACACAAAATTGTTGTTTGTATTCATGATAAATTCAAATTTGTCCCAACTACCTCATCACAGGTATAGAGCTGGCAGTTATATAAATAATATATAAAAAAAAAAAATAGAATGACAGGACTATGGCATCAGGTTAGAGCAAAGCAAGGCTCCAGTTCCCGAGTGGTTTATCCAAATTCTATACTGTTGGATGCTAATTATCACCATTTGAATACCGTATATCAGGTTATTTTCATGTACAGCAGTAATCTAATTTTAGGCATTTTTAGCTAATTCAATTTTAGCGATTTTGTTGTACATGTTTCTATTTTTTTTCTCATTTTTCTGCTGGCAAAGAGAGACCACTCTTTTTGTCAGAAATTTATTGTTTTCAATATTCTTACATAACCCTAATGTTTAGCAAATCTATTTTTCGCGATATGCATGGCATGCACATATAATGGAAATCGGAAACTCACGAAAAAAAACCACCCTGATAAACAGTATTGGAAATCACTGAATTTTGCAAGTTGGGTTCTAAATATATGAATGCAGGTCATGTTCATTACATAGTTGGAGAGATAAAAGGTAAGTTTAATAGTTTAAGACTTGACTGTGATATTACGAGTCCTGGAAATCTAGTAGTCACTGATCCTCTCTGACAAAGGGAGAAAAACAGGTAATTATGCCAGCAGGATATAGCAAATTTATTTCCCATATCATATTGTTATACTGAAATCATTATTTCCCATATCATATTGTTATACTGAAATCATTATTTCCCATACCATATTGTTATACTGAAATCATTATTTCCCATACCATATTGTTATACTGAAATCATTATTTCCCATATCATATTGTTATACTGAAATCATTATTTCCCATATCATATTGTTATACTGAAATCATTATTTCCCATACCATATTGTTATACTGAAATCATTATTTCCCATACCATATTGTTATACTGAAATCATTATTTCCCATATCATATTGTTATACTGAAATCATTATTTCCCATATCATATTGTTATACTGAAATCATTATTTCCCATATCATATTGTTATACTGAAATCATTATTTCCCATATCATATTGTTATACTGGAATCATTATTTCCCATATCATATTGTTATACTGAAATCATTATTTCCCATATCATATTGTTATACTGAAATCAGATGAAATGCTTATACTTCTACTTACTTTTGGATTCTCTTGTGTCTTCTGTATACCTAAATACTACAGTTGGGGTAACCATTTCAAACACCAGCTGAAATACACAACATAATATTAATATATTAAATGCATCAACTGAAAACAAGTTTAAATATAGTGAAACTGAATTAATATTTAAAGAAAGAAAACACTTTTATTTTACTAGCAATGCATATTATATCTTATCCCCAAATAAAATATTTTTTCTTGACAACTGTTTATATTGTATTAAAATTAATTTCAGTATTGTATAATTGATTTAAAAGGATAGCACTAACAAGAATGTAAAATTGTTAACATGAAGAATGGCTAAAAGTGCTCAGACTGCCATCAAAGTAAGTTTAACTGTCTTCACTCTTGCTACTCTAGCATTTAAACCAGGCTATTGATCCAGACTGTCTACTGCTAAACTTAAGCATTTCTATTGCAACCCAATAAAATAAAATAAAAAGGTCCAAATTTAAAGCAAGGTTCATTATACATTATCAGGAAGCTTAAAGGTTAAATTGTGAAGAAGCTCACCAATGCAGAGATTGCCTTTGAGATAAGGTCTGAAATAGATCTAACAGCTCTATCATCTTTCTTTTTCTCTTCTCGACTCTGAAAGAATAATATCAATTGATTTAAGATACAAATGAGCTGCGTCATGACATAATGGGTTTGCAACCAGCATGGATCCAGACAAGCCTGCGCATCCGCGCAGTCTGATCAGGATCCATGCTGTTCACTTACCAACCCTTTTACAAGTCGAGAAACTGATAGCGAACAGCATAGATCCTGCGCTGGATCCATGCTGGTCGCAAACCCATTATGTTGGTTTTGTCGTGACACGGCTCAAATGAGCTGCAAAAATTACTAATTCAGAATTGGACATAATGTAGGATCCAATTTATCATTCATTAGATGGTAAAGCTCAATTATTTTCAGTACTTGTTATGAAAAACATGAGCCTAGATAAAAAAGAAATTCATAAAGGGGAATAATCTATTCAAAATCCATTTTATATTTATCGTTGGATCTTGGATAGTAACTATCAAACATGAAATATATTTTTTTAGGAAAACTGTTGTTTTCTGCGATAGCATGCAAAAATCACAAGGTCTGACAGTTGTCTCGAAAGTTAGCAAATACATGTACTCAATATCTGACAAAACAATCATTTAGACCTAAGATTAGCTGACAATTTTCTGCTCGGAATGTGCTAATCCCATTAAAATTGTTGAAGAAATTTAAAAAACATCACATAATACATGGTACAGCCTCACCAAGTTTCTCAAACATCGCTAAATAATAACATAATAAACAGTAAGGATTTTGGCAATTTAACAATCCATCATTTCAGAACGACAAGGTCTATTTTCAAGTCATTGTAAGGTCATCATTCTAAATCATTTAATGCTATAATAATAAATTAACATAATTTATTGACTTACAAACTGTTTGATTGTTTTTATCTTTGACAGCTCATTGAACAGGAAGTCAGCCTGAAATACACGTAGTAAGACAATATATCATATTATAAAATGATTCTTTTTATAATACCAATCAAATTGATATTTTGTTTGTTATGCTTGATTTTATGTAACACCAACACGATGAAGGTCTTATGGTGACTTTCCAACTAAACTGTTGGAAGATTATCACATTAAATGATAAGAAACAATAGCACAATAGATTTATGCAATAGATGTTTATACAAAGTACCATACAATAGAAGCGAATTATAATATTTATCACATATTTACATTTTTACTGTTGAAATTTCTAGACATTCTCAATATCTATTATAAAATAACTATGTGAAACAATGTCACAACTTGGAAACAATATTTATTATGTCTATTAATTATTTATATTCTTTTTGAATTTTAACACTGATTTTTTTTTCTTCAAAACTTTAATCCAAATCTTTTAAGAGAAATTACAGCAACAGAATTTATGTCATTTTCAGAAATAAATCTGCTAATTAGGGTAGGAGAGCACCAGATCAGTAACCCACAGTCAGACTACTAGGTCGATCATTGGGCAATGCAAAATTTCACTGTGACAAGTAATCCTTGGACAGTGGTCATTTATCTCTTAGTGCAAGTCTGCCACTTTCAAAGAAATTAATAAATTATGGTTAGTTATCCTAGAAAACAGATATGACCAAAACCAATAGTCACCATAAAAATAGAGAGACTCAATAAACAAGATCCATACTTACAAGATCACATGAATGAGTGATTCTTTGCTCTATATTTTCAATACCAAGACTTTGTAACACTACCCACAAAGGCAGACAAGTCAGTTTCAGGTAGGGGTTAAAGGTCATCAGTGACGCAGCATGTACGAGGGCAGGATCTGCTACTTTGAAAAGTGTCTATTTGCCAGTTAAGAAATACTACTGATGTCCAAGTTTATATCAAGTAAAGCATTGTCTGTATGTTACAATTCATTCATCTATTCATTTTTTCAATCCATAATATTCTAAAGACAATTGTTTACTTTTCAAAGTATTACCTTTACTAACTTGCCTTCTCAGTCATGTGACAAATTCATTCTTACAGTAAATAAATCAGACCTATTCTCTTAAAGCTGCACATAAAATGCATTGACATTTTATATGGCTACCATCTTTGTAGAGCAGATCATAACTGATTGTTTCATAACATTTTTTACATTTTTAAAAAACTCAGCCACTTAAGTGTAAATAGCAATGCAATGGGTATGGCCGTGAAAATACCTATCAATAGTAGGTTAATAACAAAAGTGCATGTACTTGTAGCCAGGATATCCTCAAAGCTGCTTAACTGAAATATTCCTGTATTTAAGTTTGTAATCAGGTACTAATTCTTAAAAATTTGAAAAAAGAATCAATTATTCAAAACAACAAAAGTTATATAAAGATCATAGAAAAGGATACAGAGTACGGCATTGCAGGAATTCCTAACCATTTGCCCATACAGATAGTGAAACTGTCACCAAATCTTGCATTCTGTATGTTACCAGGTGGACGTATCAATGACAAAGTGGCAAGGTTATCCCTGAAATATAACAAGATCGCAATGATACCAAAAAACATCTGTGTGACATCTGCACTGTTATTTTTTGCTGATTCAACAATATGGTATTTTTGATTTTTATCAATATTATTGGAAAAAGTTCATCTCAATGTACCTAACTATGAATGAACATACATGTTATTGATAATATGTTATATCTAAAACAATATATAATCCCTATTCTGTTAAATGGACTTATCCATTTCAAAGTTTTGGATCTGTCCATTTCCAGTTCAGGGTGATTCAAGATGAAAACTTTAAGTTAATCAGTCAATTTTATTGAGTCTGGTCAGACTGCACAGATAGCAAAACCCTGTCACTTTCAGTTCAAGTGAACAACCAGTCTTAATAGATGAGTGGTCTTGATGTCAAAATGGTCTTAAATTGAGTCATACTGTACTAACTACTTGTCTCAGTTAACAACCAATCTTAATAGAGGAGTGGTCTTGATGTCAAAATGGTCTTAAATAGAGTTAAACTGTACTAACTACTTGTCTCAGTTAACAACCAATCTTAATAGAGGAGTGGTCTTGATGTCAAAATGGTCTTAAATAGAGTCAAACTGTACTAACTACTTGTCTCAGTTAACAACCAGTCTTAATAGAGGAATGGTCTTGATGTCAAAATGGTCGTAAATAGAGTCATACTGTATTAACTACTTGTCTCAGTTAACAACCAGTCTTAATAGATGAGTGGTCTTGATGTCAAAATGGTCTTAAATAGAGTCATACTGTATTTACTACTTGTCTCAGTTAACAACCAGTCTTAATAGAGGAATGGTCTTGATGTCAAAATGGTCTTAAATAGAGTCAAACTGTACTAACTACTTGTCTCAGTTAACAACCAGTCTTAATAGAGGAATGGTCTTGATGTCAAAATGGTCTTAAATAGAGTCAAACTGTACTAACTACTTGTCTCAGTTAACAACCAGTCTTAATAGAGGAATGGTCTTGATGTCAAAATGGTCTTAAATAGAGTCAAACTGTACTAACTACTTGTCTCAGTTAACAACCAGTCTTAATAGAGGCATGGTCTTGATGTCAAAATGGTCTTAAATAGAGTCAAACTGTACTAACTACTTGTCTCAGTTAACAACCAGTCTTAATAGAGGAATGGTCTTGATGTCAAAATGGTCTTAAATAGAGTCAAACTGTACTAACTACTTGTCTCAGTTAACAATCAATCTTAATAGAGGAGTGGTCTTGATGTCAAAATGGTCTTAAATAGAGTCAAACTGTACTAACTACTTGTCTCAGTTAACAACCAGTCTTAATAGAGGAATGGTCTTGATGTCAAAATGGTCTTAATTAGAGTCATACTGTATTAACTACTTGTCTCAGTTAACAACCAGTCTTAATAGATGAGTGGTCTTGATATCAAAATGGTCTTAAATAGAGTCATACTGTATTTACTACTTGTCTCAGTTAACAACCAGTCTTAATAGAGGAGTGGTCTTGAGGTCAAAATAGTCTTAAATATAGTCATACTGTATTAACTACTTGTCTATTTTATTACATGTGCATTGTTTTTGTCTCACAGAAATTGATACTTGATCTTTGAAAAATCTGTCTATATTTTATGCAATGCTCATTAAAACAGGATTTTTTTTTGGTCATTTTTAGACCTGCTTACCCGTCAACATGCATCCAAATGTTATTTTTCTTGCATAATTCTTTAATCTTTTCTAAATCATCTACATGACCTGCATTTGGTGTACCTACAATGATAAAAGTTATACATTAGCATAGGTAAGTATCATAACATTACGTCTGTACTTAAGTATGAACATGTACATACAAGGGGCAAAAAATATCTTTGTTTATTTAATGTCAACTGTAAATACTGTCATATTTCTGTAAATGCCTTCCCAAAATTCTAGATTTAGTTGTTTTCAAATTTAAGTCACACCAACACAGTAAAGGTCACATGGCAAGCTTGTACATGGGTAGCTTTACTGGTGGAGGAAGACCTCAGCCCCTCTTAAGGCAAGAGCAGGCATCTGAGTAGAACAAATAACCTTTGTAAGCTAGCTGGTTAGCCACAATTCTAGATGGAAGTTATACAACAATCTGAATATCAATAATCCTTTGCGTAAATCAAATTGCCTAATTTCTTTTGTAAATAGCCATATATGTCATACTGCATGCTGGGGGTGGATGATTGGTTAACGAATCAATGCCAGTTTATCAATACAACTGTCTATGAACAATTTAATTCATCATCAAATAATCAAAGCTTCCAGTAAAATCTCAAATAGCATGTTTCGTTTCATAACAAGAGAAATTATGCCTCAATACAAAAAATAAATTTCACATAACTTCACAGTATATGTGATTATGTCCTATATAAGCATACCTGCATATGCAATAAGAGCAACTGGAGTTTTGGCGGCTGCTATGTCATCTTGTATCAACTTTTCTAAAATCTCTGTATCCTGTAAATATTCAAATAAGATACATATTACAATATATAGGTGTGTATTTATTTAATTTCTCCTTGGACAATGCTTTGTTTATAATCATTTATATCTATTTATAGCAGTAAAAGATGAAAATTTCAAATTAGCAAATAGTAATAGAGCCTGGTCAGACTTCACAAATGTGAATGCTAGTCTGGCTCTATACTGGTGGTAAAGGCTAGTCACTTTCAGTCCTAGCATTGTCAAGGATAATAAACACCAATCTAAGAACTATTCTCTTATTTGCCAATTACCCATCTAGGGATCTTCTAGTCCCTAAAACATCTTGTTTTTTTAAAGAAATGTCTGCTCCCATTCACTTTAAGTCACAAAATAACAATTATTATTTCAGTTTTATATAGCTGCAAAAGTAACATTAGCGCAATGCACCAAGTAAAACACATATCTATATTTACATGTCATTCATGTTATACAAAATGCCTCTAAACATATCTGCATACATCAAAAGTGTTACCAAGCTATTGATTATCAAAGCGACATAAGATGTAACACAATGTTATTACTGGCTGATTATTGTGGTGACAACTGGATCTTTCTTTATGTGTATTGGAAAATGGATTTACCTTCTTAAATGGGTTTAAATATAAAGATTTCTTACCAAAGTTTATATTTATAAAGTGTTCTTCAACTCATATATTTTCCTAGATCTATTTATATAAATGACGTCTTGTCTTCTTATTTAACCAAACTGACTGCTGGTCAATTTTTAATATATTTTCAAATCTGACAAAACTGTATCATATATTTTTGATTGATTGTCTGGTTTTGACACCAATTTTAATACCATCTTGGTCACATTTTGGCAACTGATCTTCCTGACTTGGTTTCCTGCATAACTAACCAGTAATTACCAATTTCTTTGCAAGTGACTGACAACTGACCATAAAACTCAATGTCTGTGATCAATTGTTACATAGAAATTCAGCCTCACCCAAGGATCAAGCCAACGACCCATGGATAACAAATCTGATGGCAGAGCACAATTTTGAGATATTTTATATTCACAATAAAACGACCAGATCCAAACTTTAAGCAGGGCAAGTATTTAATTCATAGTTAGCAGTAAAATTATTAAATGACAAATTGGTCAAAAACTGGAAATTTAATGTTTTTTTATCAAACCCTATAACACCGGTAAGAAAATTTAGTGCAATGCAGATACATAAATATTTTAATTGTGTTTCTGGTTTGGAACACTATGTTTCAGAAAAAAAGCAGTAAATGCAGAAAACACCATATTTTATAAGCATATATCAAAATGTATGCAAAGTATTAGAAATGAGAAATGCACCAAATAGCTCTTTATTAAGACTTTCATTACAAGTTACATTCGCTGAACATGCTTTTTATTAGTTCTGCTTTCTTTGTACATGATAATACTAATTTCAAATTTGCATGAAGCTGTCACAGATTTATGAATAAATTTTCATTTTAGAATGAACCAATATTAACATGGTATTCCCACACATTTTACTAAAGCGTGTTTTATACTTATTTATAATTACATACATAATACAATTTCCCAAATTCTATATCTCAGTCAAACTAAACAAGTATTAATAATATTCATTTGTATGAACTTGTCAATAAATAAATAAATAAAAATGTCCATCACCAAAAGTTTACATGTTTTGCACTGGATAGGGTACTTAACCTTGCATGTGGATCCAAATAAAAAATACAAGCATTAAGGTTTGCTTTCTTTAAAAGCGGACTATAATGTGTACAGTATGACTTATATTAGATATACATAATTACATAACTATAATTGTAAGTACATTACTTATCTATACAATGTTCAGAAAAATCATTCTTTTGAGAAATACTCAATGTGGGTTGCAGAGGTTTAATTCTGGACAATGCCCATTAATGTGTACATCTTAATGGACCAGTATTGACATAAGTACTATTTGACTGTATTATTCTTATGTACAACAGTTTTATAATAAAAAAAAATTCAAACAGTTATCTTCTACAGAAATTTGTGTATAGTTCAACACAAAAGCAGAAAAATGCAGAAATTCACATGCAGGAAAAACTTCAAAACACAGCATATGTCAACTGCAGGTGATAGAGGTCCATTAAAATAACACAATAATCATAACATATACATGACATATAGGTGTAAAGTACCAAGGTTTTGTACCCTTCGAAACTTACCATACGTTCATGTCTGTTTGGTCGCTGTGAGCATATAGGAACCAATATTAACATGGTATTCCCACACATTTAACTAAAGCACGTTTTTTGTTGTGTTTTTTTTTCATTACGATATGATTATTGATTGTTAATAAAATATTTTTAAAGATAATATGCTATAAAAGATACATTTTGCCAAACAAGTAAGAAATATATCTGAAACAGTTATGGAAAAAACAAGTAGAACAATCTCTTTGTGACACATATCATCTGTTAACCCATAAACCGCTCAATTTGTGAAATTGATTTGCTCTGAATTTAAGGAACAGTTAATTTAACATTTAAGGCATTTTATTAATACAAAAAATACAAAAACAGAACTGTTTGTTTGTTTAATTAGGTTTTACGCCACACCAACACAGTATAGGTCATTTGGCGATGTTCCAGCTGTACTGGTGGAGGAAGACCACAGGTGCTCTTTAGTGCATTATTTCAGGCACGAATGGGCATCCGAGTAGAACCACCGATGTTCCGTAAGCTAGCTGGATAGCTTCCTCACGTGAAAAAATCCAAAGTCCCTGTCGGGATTTCGAACCCGCAGTGGTGAGGGGCAAAAGGTTTGAAGTCAACAGCCTTAACCACTCAGCCATAATGCCCACACGCCCCCCCCCAACCCCCCCCCCCTCCAGAACTACCAGCAGTATAAATCCTGGTAAGACTGAATAGATATATTATATATGCTGGCTGGGCTATATACTGGTAACAACGGCAAATCCCTTTCGGTTTCAGCAGATTATGGGTTAAGTCCTGAATCATGTAGATATACATCAGATCACGTGCTAAATGCACTCAGGTATGAGATCATTTTGATCTTTACAAAAATCTTACTTAAAAAATAAGACATAAAAAGCTTGCATAATGAGGTTGTGAACAGAATAGTTAGTTTTATCAGTATCAACCCGAGTGAAGATAATGATGGTTTTTGGTAGAAATTAGCATACATTTCTATGAATATTTCCACTAATCAGTTTATAACATTAATAAACAATTGTCACTACTTACCATTTTGGTGTTGGATCCAAACAAGGTATTACATGGTACAGAACATATTGATGACATTGGAAGACCCAACTGAAAATATGGTCAAAATATACACTGCATTTTAATTACAGTCCGACCCAGGTTATTCGACAACCCTTTATTCGAATACCCGGCATTATCAGAAGTAGATTGGCAGTCCCGTTTTTATCTCTATATAAAACAATATAAATACGAGCGTATTATTCGAAATGCATTATCCGAATACCTCCTATTTTTTCGAAGTAAAATTTCGGTCCCGATTATACAATTATGAAAGAATTTCACACCTATTATTCGAAGCTAGCCTAATTATTATTCGAAGCCAGACTAATTGGCGCAGATTCACTCGCTGACCGGTCAACTTGTGAAAAATATCAACAGTCATGCGTGTATTTAGACAATCATGATAATAACTATTTGCGTGTTTTTTTAATCAATTTAATTACCGAAAATGAAAAGCTATGCACCGTGTCCGATTTTTATTGCTTGAGGATGACAGCATAATTTTCATACATACCGTATATGTGAATTTGTCAAAACATCCAAAACATTTTTTTTCCATTAATTGTTACGCTACATGAGAGCCTTTATCCTAATCGAAAATACCAGAGTTTAGCTGTAAATACCGTAGTGACAACACGGCCATTATCAAGGCTTTGCGCATAATGTAGAATAAAATGCAAGTATTTATGTCTTCGATGCCAATACAATAATTTTTACGCATCTTTTCTATAATAGTTATTTTTCTCAATTGATTACAGGAAGTAAGTGTGTTGTAAACGGTAGTTTTGCTATGATTGGTCAATGTGGAGTAGTTTTCGTCTATCACAATATTTCGATTTTGATTATTCGAACCCATCGATTATTCGAAGTAAATATTCAGTCCCTATTCGAAGTAAATATTCAGTCCCTGGCACTTTGAATAAACGGGGTTGGACTGTAAGTGCATACTTAGTTCTTCTTGAAATAATCTTTTTTTTTTTTCTTCCAATATTTGTTTTTTTTACATAAAATTTGCCAATCTCACAACAGCACAACTTCTAATTTTTTCAGAATAAAGTGTCCAGTTTTCTGGGCTTGGATTGGAATGTTTGAATCCTGGCTGTAGCCTAACACTTGCTTTTCTTGATGATTTAGTTAGAGATATTACATAGAAAAATCACAACATTGTAAGTGTTTTTTAATGATCCAAGTATTATGTATAACAACATTTTTTTTCCGGTGTTAAAAGCAATTTATGTAGGCAAATTGGCTGTTACTTTAATGGACACATTAAATTGATTTTGCTAAAAATTCCATGCATTCTGTTAGGTCTCTGCATACTTGAGCATTACTTAAATACTTATGAAATTCTCTTTCCTTTTTGTGTATAAAACAAACAAAAATATGCATTTTATCAATAAGACGTCAACATTATTTCTATCTAACATAACAAAAACAATAATACTACAATACCTGTAAACATAGGTAGTTACTTAGTCCAGGCTGGGCAGCTGAACTTATATATATCACAGGTGGTCTAGAATATAGGGCCTCAAACCCTTCGGTAATATACTTTGGATATTTCTGGTACAAAGCTAAGCGGCAGATTCGTACAAGACCATCTCTAGATTCTTCATGGTAGAAAACTGACGCCTCGTCAAACCTAACAATAAATTAACATCTTTATTGTTCTGCAATTTGAATATCTTAACAATGACTTAATCTAAAATTTTGCTCAATGTTTTAAAGTTTTTTTTTATATCTTTCCTGACCTTTAATTCAGTAATAAAGATTATCTTGTTAGTTTTGTCCCAGGTTTTCAACATTGAAAGATCTTTCAATTATACATTCACTGACTTACACAACTGGGTGAATAAATCGTTTTTAATTGTAGAAAACAATTGTTAGTATGTTATTGAAGTTATATTTTATGGAATAAGCACCACTGTTAATATTGTCAGCAATCACAAAAGTCATTAGCAGATATAAAATATATCTGGTGTCCACAAAGTGGGACAACATTTGATAAATCTCTGTAATTAACAAATTTTCTTCTTATTTGAGTCTTTTTGTTTTCTTTTTTATCATATTTTTAAAGTTCTTTTCATAAAATTAGTCAGGTATTACCAAAATGTTGTAAAAAATGCAATTTATATGATGTCTGTGACATTATGGAAATCTGTGGTTTTTTTTTAGCTTTTTTCTCTGTTTTATCAATTTATGTACAATACAATAATTCTGTTAAAATTTTAAATTCAACTTTTCAAACAGTGAAATATGACTTTGAACCTCACCAATTGAAAGCATAAGATCATAAAATCATATAAGACCTTGAAAACGGAAAACAGCTAAATAGAGGATATGATAATATTACCTGAACATTTTTGCTAGCCAGAGTTGACAATCTGCTGTAATTTTCGATGTGAATCTCTTCAGATGGTCACCTTGTAAACAGGAGACGTATGCGGCCAGACTGTGTGACGTTACAGCTGCATTGCCATGATCATCCAGCTTACGTATTTGCATACGTCTGAAATTATTAAATAATCACATATAACCATGATCATCTAGCTTACGTATCTGCATACGTCTGAAAGTGAAGTCATCATCATCCATCATCATAATCAAACCATATTTACTTAAGATACCTTTAATGCATGTATACTTGTCTAAAGTATTTTAAATGTCTATACAAATTATAAATATCTATATGTATTCATTATAGAAAACATCTGAAATTTAAATATAATATACAGTCAGTTATTTAAACAAATTATTATGTATTTATTTAGTTCACAAATCTTTCAAAGAATTTTAAACTTTTTATTTTCAGGGTTGTCATTGAAATTTTTATGAGACGGTCCATTTTGAATTAGATGGTGTATTCATCTCACAAAAAAAACGTGAAACAGATTGATTTTTCTTGTCAAAACAGCATAACTTTTCATTTTTCTCTGTTACATTAATGATTTTATATGTTGTGAGGGGGATTTTTATCTCAGTTAGGGAGAAAAAACATATAATTTTGGTGGGGGACTGCGGCAATATTCCATTGCAGATTTGGTAGATGGAATGCCCTGTATATGCACCATGAGAAAAATATTAATGGAAGACAATAAAATCAGTTTAAAGTCCTTACTTTCTGTCTTTTTGTGGTTTTTTGGGTTCTTCTGGTTTTTCATCTTCCTCAACTGGTTCCTCGCCCATAGCTCTTTTACGCCGGTTCTCAATCCACTGCTCCATAAAACTAAACGGTTTTTCTTCTTCTTTCTGAAAAACAAACAACCCAAAACAATGCGACACTGCTTTAGATATCAACCATAAACCATTGCAGTTTATCTTATACTTAAAATGACGCTGAATTTAAATGCTTTGAATGCAAGTAGGGACAAATGTCTAACCTACATCATATGCAATGACTGCCTGTGCGTTCTAACACGACTCTATATGGTTGGTTACATAACTAAAGCATTTTGATATCAAACTCCTTTGCATTAACTCTGGAAACCTCTCCACATTAACTCTGGACAATTTTCAAATTTGCTGGATTTTAAGTCTCACTGGCCATAAGGTGATTTCCCAGCTGTTGGATAAAGACCTTTGGCGTTTCTTATGTCTGGTTGTTCCAAATCATTAAACAATAGATTGTTATATCAAAATACTCACATTTTCCTCATCCTCTTCATTTTCATCAATCTCATAAACAATCATTTCTTCAACCTTCTTCATAACATCTGTTAATTCTTGACCACTGAAAAATATTTTATTTAATAAGTAAATATATTCAATATTTTTAAGGTTGTTCAGATTATGCTAAAGCTTCCTGATAATTTGTAATATTAAGGTTAAGCAAGACTTCGTCCCAATGACACTACAGTGAAAAAGCTGTCACAGGGTCATTTTGTCTTTGCTAGAATACTCTGTATTTCATACCCATACTCTATATCATTCCCCTATAGTCTCTTTTTCAATCATTCATATCATTATTCAACTTCATACTAATAACTTCATTTGACCTATAACACGTTGACGGGCCTCATTCACTTCATTTTTGAATTCGGTCACGCTAACCTTTACGCATGCGCACAAGAAATGAGAACTTTTAGCGAGAGCTGTTGTTTTTCATTGACTCCGTATTTATATTTTATTGTGTGCCAACAATATATTTACAGGTATATTTGAGGTTATAAAACGTTGTAAACATGAATTACTATGATATGTGTATGTATTTCGCTTGGAATTAGCAATAGCACAAGAAATGAGAACTTTTAGCGAGAGCTGTTGTTTTTCATTGACTCCGTATTTATATTTTATTGTGTGCCAACAATATATTTACAGGTTCCTCTTTGAACGCCCTATCCTCCCGAGTGAGAACTCACGTATATCCGTGACATTTGGTGGCCAGTGTTACATTTGGGACGTTTTGGTGCGAAAACAGTTGAGGACGAACTCAGTTCGGGTGGATTGTCTCCCCGCTTGTATCAGCCAATGAGAATTGGGAAACCCTTCTTACGTCACATAGTGAATGTCAACAAGGAATTCCGTCCATCATGTTGTATCGAAAATTTTATATTTTGTTTTAACAATCAAATGAAAGCTTTCTAAAGTAAATATAGGCCTCTTTATTTAATATACAGTACTCTACATTGAAACACTAGTGCATAAACTCAACAGACCAGGATTTCTTTATTTTTCAACGTTGGATTCTACCTCTGGACATTTTGTTTACATTTTTATTGGAAGGAGATTACAGTGATAAACATTGACTTGAATGACATTAATTAGTGATTTAACCTTTAGATAGATTGATTTATATAACATTTCTTAAAATCTTTTGTAGTTACCATCTAAGTATTGTTCATTGTATATTTTTCTTCACTGTCATAGATTTCTACAGTTATTGTTTATATTTGACAGGTTGTTTGGCATTGAAGTTGTGTGTATTGTGTGGAAGTCAACCTTGGCACTGAGCACTACATTAACAGTTTAACAGATATCATTGCATAAATACATTTTCATTTTGGTAACTGGTGATTGGTGAGATAACCCTTTCATATCTTTCTTCTGGTCCCTGATACTATACTCTAGAAGCCATTTCTTTCCATTTTACCATCTGTATTGTCTTATTATTACTATACTCCTGTAAGACATCCCCACTTTAACAGTCCACTTTATTGAAAAGCTTGTGAAATACTTTTGTACTATTACCTGATTAAAAAAAAAAAAAAAAAAAAAAAAAGAATTTCATCTTTGGAAGAAATTTAATTTTGGAAGCTTTATTAATTAATTAATCTTTTGGCGGCTCACATACACTTCATAAAATTTATGTGTCTTTGGAAAATGTTTTGTATTAGGTGCCTGAGTATGAAAAAGTCAGTAATGTAGTCTTGTAGTGTAATGATAGTTTAGTTCAACTTGTTGGTACTTCTGTCATAACAGTGAAAGCCTAATAAATATCAAAATACAAGAAATACTATAAAATAATTGACATTTTATCACAGGGATTAGATACTCCTTTGATAAAATCTCTTATATTACTTAAATATTCTAGTCCGTGTAAAAAAATTGTTCCATTTATTTAAAATTGAACTGTTTTTGAAATAAAAACAAAACATTTTACAATTGCGGTGTACTTGCAGTGACAATTGTATTTTGTTTAGACTTTTCTCGGGTTTTTGAATGCAGTTATCTGGAGAAGATTGGAAATTGAAGTAATTTTCCGCAACTATTTGGACCAGGTATTATAGTGTGGTACAATTGAATCTTTGTTGTTGTGAATTTTACAGTACTGGTTTAGCCAGGAAAGTACATGAAACATTGTGCTCTAGTTTGAAATTAAATCAAGTGATTATTGAAGACATTTGGGAATAGCAGTCATATGGAAGTAGTGTGTGCTTATATTGTCTTCATTGTTATTTGAATTTCCCTTGTAAATTGTTTGGTAGGTGAAATCCATTCAATTTTATTACAAGTTTGATACAGTACTGGACTTGATATTTATATATTGCACACATTCTCACATTGGAAAACTATAGAAGTTAGTACAGTGTAAAGGAATTACCAGCATTGAATATAGTGATTGCATTTACAGACATTTGATTGGTGCACATAAAAGCTGCAAATTTGAAAGTTTATTTATGTGTTATTTATTTTGTTTGTAAAAAAATTTTCTATGGTGTACAATATGGGACATCATTTTTGTGTGTTTTAATTATTCATTTACTGAAGGCCTGAATTGTCTTTTGTAAATAAAATTCAGCTGGTGTGTAACTTCTGCTAGATATACATATTACCATTACAAATTTCAGTTGCCATATTTGTGTATGGTGTACAATGTGTGCCATCTTGTGAACAAAAATTTATTTTTGTGTATTACTTTGAGTTTATCTATTTTCATTTGAAAGTTTTTATTTGGAATAATATTTCAAGTAAAAAGTGCCCTTCATTTTATTTATTTTGATCAGTCTAAGTTGTTGTTGTGGATTTGTTGACACGTTATGTCAGTTATTATCAATATGGATAATGACGATACCACACCTAGAGGAAAAGATAGTCGTGATGAGTTAGATCTGGAATATTGTTTGAGACGTGTTTTGAGTTCTGGTTATACTGTTGATACAGTGCAACCTAGAACTGATAGACGTTCACTCTCCACTGATGCTGATCCTGATACACATACACCTATTAGGGAGTACCGACATAGACATCGTGATCGTTCTCCTCCTGTGTTATCTCCTCATAGGTTGCATTCTATTCATGAAAGTGCCCCGTCACCCTTTGTTGAAAGACGTCAGAGTCGTGTTTCTTTTCGTCCTGATTTCGATTCCACCCCTCTTGGCTCAAGCTTGCCCAGAAAATCTGATTATTATTCTAGGCCTGAGTTTGAAGGATTATCACAGTCCTTTCCCAGATCTGCTTCTCTCCCACAGCATGATTCTTATAGCAGCCCTTACAATTTTCCACCACAGAGACTTCCTAAATTACCTCAGTTTTCAGGGGAATTGAAGAAAGAAGATGTGGAATTTGTCGTTTGGAAGTATGAAGTCAACTGTATCCTCAAAAGCGGTATGTATTCTGAACATTCCATTTTGGAGTCGATTCGGCGTAGTCTGCGTGGGAAGGCCAGATCAGTTTTGTTACATCTTGGGGAGTGGGCGACTGTGGATGAAATCGTTCGAGAAATGGATGCAACTTATGGTAACGTGGCATCAACAGAGAGGCTGAAAGAGCAATTCTACTCTGCAAGTCAACGGGAGGGTGAATCAATTGTTGACTATAGTCTTCGATTGGAACATCTTCTTGTTGATTCCCAAATCACACTTGATAGAAAGACACGGGATGACATGTTGAGGAACAGATTGTGGTCTGGACTAAGGAACCAGGATTTGAAGAACGCCACTAGGTACAAGTTTGAGGCGGAACTTGATTATACAAGGTTCAGGCGAGAGTTGCGACTTGTTGAAGAGGAGATGAAGTTGGCTCAACAAGGAGTGAAATCATCAGGTACCTTTACCAGGGATAGATCTTCCACTTCTTCTACTTCTTCTTTTCCTTCTAATTCTTCAGACAGGTCCAAAGTGCAGGATGTAAGACAGTGTAGCACCTCTGTTGAATCCAAAATTTTACAGGAGTTACAGGATGTTACAGCTCAGTTGAAGACATTGAACAGCAGAGTCACTCGCATCGAAAGAGACCTTGATGATGTCAAGAAGAATAGGTATAGGTCAGATGGGAACCGATGGCGAGGTAGAGGTACTGACATCCGAAGTCAAGAGACAGAGCCGCAACCACCATCAAGTTCTAACTCTGCTACTCCATCCAAGACAGATAAGCCTTTAAACCAGCAGGCTCCTCCACCAAAGGGCCAGTAGGAGGACCGCCCAGTCAGAGAGGCCCACCAAGTATCCCTTTGGTTGGACATTCCAATGAAACAGATGTTCTTGTTAATGGATGCCCTGCTACAGCACTTTTAGACTCTGGTTCTATGGTCACAACTCTTGCTCATTCTTACTTTTCATCTTTAGATCCTTGTCCAGAGCTGTTGAGTATTTCTGATTTCTGTGTCAAAGGAGCAAATGATTCATCTATTCCTTATATTGGTTATTCTATCCTGGAAATTTCTGTTCCATGTCTTTCTTCAGATTCTGTTGTTTCTGTTCCTGTTTTGATAGTGCCTGATACTTCTTATTCCAAGTCTATACCTCTTATTATTGGTACTAATGTTACTAGCCACTACAAGAGATGTATTACCACACCAGAATCAGTTCCATCTCCATGGGATGAAGTCTTTTCTTCTATTCCGGATAACACTGCAGTTCAGGTGAAGGCTTTTATCACCAGACCTATGTATATTCAGCCTTTTCAGGTTTGTACTGTTCCAGGTATTGTTCGTGGAAGTCATTCCATTAGACATGGTGTTACAGAGGATGATGAGAACTTGCACTCTTTCAATGTTTGCCCTCGCCTTGTTGAAGTTGACCCTAGTCGTTCCTTCTCTAAAGTTCCGGTTCGTATTTGTAACATGAGTGTAAGACCTGTTCGTATCATGCCTAAAAGTTCAATCTGTCTTCTTCAAGATGTGAACGTTGTTCGATCAGTTGACCCTTTGGAAGCCACATCGTCTAATATCAGTACTAAAGATATGTCTTTGGAAGATTTAGGAGTAGACTTATCCAAGAGCTCTTTATTACAAGATCATCTTAGAGACGCTACACAATTCCTCGAGAAATGGAAAGGTATATTTTCTACTGGTATTACAGACCTTGGCTGCACTAATCTTGTTGAGCATGAGATCAACTTGACTGATCCACAGCCTTTCAAGGACCCCTATCGTCGCATCCCTCCTGGTATGTATGAAGAGGTTAGGGAACATCTCCAAGATATGCTTGCTGCAGGAGCCATTAGGGAATCCAAAAGCCCTTTCTCAAGTAACGTCGTCCTTGTTCGCAAGAAAGACAATTCGCTCAGGTTCTGCATAGACTTCAGAAAGTTGAATAGTCGGACAGTTACTGATGCCTACTCTTTGCCAAGGATTGATGAGACCATTGATTCCCTCGCAGGTTCCAAAATCTTCAGCAAACTAGACCTACGATCAGGTTACTGGCAAGTTGCCATGAAGGAGTCTGACAAGCCCAAGACTGCTTTTTCGGTCGGCCCACTTGGTTTCTATGAGTGTGAAAGGATGGCATTCGGACTAACCAACGCTCCCGCCACCTTCCAGCGCTTGATGGAAAGATGTATGGGGGAACTTCATCTAAAGGAGTGTTTGATTTATTTGGATGACGTCATCGTTTATTCCAAGACGTTAGATGAGCACTTTAAACGACTTGATGCTGTTTTTCAACGCCTCAAGGAAGCTGGTTTGAAGCTTAAAGGCAGCAAGTGTGAGTTTTTCCTCCCTCGTGTCACATATCTCGGTCATGTTGTTAGTGCTGACGGAGTGGAGACTGACCCGGAGAAGACCAGAGTTTTGAAGGAGTGGCCCGTTCCGAAGTGTCTTAAGGATCTTCGCAGTTTTTTAGGTTTTACCGGCTACTATCGTCGTTTTGTACCAGGTTATGCTAGTATAGCCAAGCCTTTGAATGACCTCCTTGCTGGACACCCGACAAACACTAAAGGTAAGAGTAAGAAGGATGCAGCTACTTGGACTTGGAATTCAGATCAACAAGAGGCATATGAACAGCTCATTGAGAAGTTGACTACCCCTCCTATTCTTGGCTATGCCGATTTTACAAAGCCGTTCATCTTGAACATCGATGCAAGTACTTCCGGTTTAGGAGCGATCCTCTATCAGGAGCAGGACGGTCAAGAACGGGTAATCGCCTACGCCAGCAGAGGGTTACGTATTAATGAGCGAAATTATCCTGCTCATAAGTTAGAGTTTCTTGCGTTGAAATGGGCTGTTGTTGACAAATTTAACGATTATTTGTATGGTAACTCCTTCAAAGTTCGTACAGATAACAACCCATTAACGTATGTGCTCTCTTCCGCCAAACTAGATGCAACTTCACATAGATGGTTAGCTGCGTTAGCATCTTTCAACTTCACCTTACAGTATCGTGCTGGACGTTCAAACATAGATGCAGACTTTCTTTCAAGAGTTCCTAATTCATCTGAAACTGTGGTTTTCAATGACGCAGTCAAAGCTATTATACAAGGTTGTATGTATATTAAGGAATCACCTGTTGTTGAATGTATTTCTATGAGTCAGAAAGTTGTTGATATAACTACTGATGTTTCATCAGACTACCTTAGTGATGTTGATTGGAAGCTGGAACAGTCAAAAGATCCTACAATTTCAAGGTTTATTCAGATCTTTTCTACTGGTCATAAACCAACTAGAAGACTTTCTTCACGGGAAACTGAATCTGTTCGTCAATACCTTCGAGAATGGCCCAGTCTTTTTACCAAGGATGGTATTCTTTATCGTCATGGTCAGGTATGTAATCATCCCGTAGATCAGCTTGTTCTGCCAGACTCATTTAAGGATATGGTTTTCACTGGTCTCCATGACAATGCCGGACATCAGGGTATTGACAGAACCAATTCCCTCATCAAATCTCGTTTCTTTTGGCCAGGTTTGGATGGTTTTGTTGAAACTCGAGTACGGAAGTGTGCTCGTTGTATTCGCCGGAAAACACCTTTGTCAACTTCTGCAGGACTTATTCCAATCCATTCTTCCTATCCTCTAGAGCTTGTCTGCATGGACTTTTTGACCTTAGAGATGTCAGCAGGTGGATATGAGAACGTGTTAGTAATCACTGATCACTTTACCCATTATGCACAAGCCATACCGACTAGGAACCAAACGGCACGCACCACGGCGAAAGCACTTTTTGATAATTTCATCTGTCATTATGGTTTCCCTAGTCGCCTACATAGTGATCAAGGCAGGAATTTTGATGGAGCAGTTATAAAGGAGTTATGTCAGCTTGCTAACATCGCTAAGTCTAGGACTACGCCTTATCATCCCCAGGGTAACGGAATGCCTGAAAGGTTCAACCAGACACTTCTGAATATGCTAGGTACTTTGGAGGATAAGAAGAAGCTGAATTGGAAAGCTCATGTACCAGCTCTTGTACATGCATACAACTCAACTCGGCATGAGACGACAGGTCTGACACCACATTTTCTTATGTTTGGGCGCCATCCTCGCCTTGCATTAGACGCTTTCCTCGGGATCGACCCAGACATTTCTTTTCACACCAAGAAGCCAGCTGAATTTGTTGAAGGCTTAAGGAAGCGCTTGAATTTCGCTTACAGAGTTGCTAGCCGTGAGGCAAGACGTCAAGCGAAGCGGCACAAGAAGCGCTACAATCTTCGTGTTCGGGAAGTACGCCTTGTTCCAGGTGACCGTGTATTGGTGAGAAACGTTGGTTTAAAAGGTAAGTGTAAGTTAGCTGATCGTTGGAGTAAAACTATCTACACCGTAGTTGATCAGCCTAACCTAGATTTACCTATATTTCAGGTTAAGCCGGAAGATAGTGATGATGCACCAAAGTTACTTCACCGCAATATGCTACTTCCGTTCATGGGTCTCCCGCTACAGGAACCGAAACGACTGTCACATCACTCTCCCAGTAATGGTAATTTTCAGCAAAATTCTCCTGTCAGTTCTCTTTCCTTTTCAGACACAGCAGCACCTAAACCTTCTGAGTCTTCGAGTACTTCCATTAAAACCTCTATTTCAGACAATCCATCAGTCGTATCCACGGAATCTGATAAGTATGTTATTCCTGCAAGACGTCCAGGTAATAGTTTGTTAAGACCGGAAGCTCCACCTTTTCTTCCACGAAGAACTTCTAGAGTAAGAGAGAAGCCACGCTGGATGACTGATGATTGGAATTTGAGTAGGAAACGGTAGTACAGATTCTCAGACAGATGTCAAATTTGATTTTGTCATTTTTTGTAAATTGTTTTATAAAAGATGAGAACAATAAATTGTTTCAGTTGAGTTTTGTATAATCTTAATTTCAAATTGTCAGTGTTGGTTTACTGATGTTTGAGATTAGTGTTTATTCATATGTGTTATCATATGAGTGTAGGGTTTCGTCATATATATTTGTAAGTATGGTTTGTATTTAACCGATTTGTAAAATTTCTTCAAAGAAATTTGTCAAATTTTATTTACTCTGAAAGAGTTACTTTGAATATTGTGTAATGTGAAAACATAACACAAGTTCTACAGTTTTGTAGATGAGTCAGTGTACTAACGTGCATGGTTCACAATCCCCAAAGAACGCGTTCACTATTCCCAACAGTGCTTCGGGCACTTTTCTGGTTGTTAATGCCTCACAGCATTTTCAAGCAGCATACATTACCTTTATTGGTAATTTCACTGTTAGGACAGAAGTACTTTAACGAGTCCCATGTCCTGAGTATTAGTTCTACTGTAGTTAGACAGTATGGTTTTTGATATATATGCAGGTATCAGTAATTTTTGTTTATGAGTTGAAAATGTCTGGACGCCATTTTATTCTTGGCGGGGAAGTATGTCACAGGGTCATTTTGTCTTTGCTAGAATACTCTGTAATTCATACCCATACTCTATATCATTCCCCTATCGTCTCTTTTTCAATCATTCATATCATTATTCAACTTCATACTAATAACTTCATTTGACCTGTAACACGTTGACGGGCCTCATTCACTTCATTTTTGAATTCGGTCACGCTAACCTTTACGCATGCGCACAAGAAATGAGAACTTTTAGCGAGAGCTGTTGTTTTTCATTGACTCCGTATTTATATTTTATTGTGTGCCAACAATATATTTACAGGTATATTTGAGGTTATAAAACATTGTAAACATGAATTACTATGATATGTGTATGTATTTCGCTTGGAATTAGCAATAGCACAAGAAATGAGAACTTTTAGCGAGAGCTGTTGTTTTTCATTGACTCCGTATTTATATTTTATTGTGTGCCAACAATATATTTACAGGTTCCTCTTTGAACGCCCTATCCTCCCGAGTGAGAACTCACGTATATCCGTGACAAAGCTCCTATGAAATATCTAATAAAAGTGAATGATATCACTTTTTGATAATATGGCCAGAACTTGGCTGATTACTGAAATATTTGTTCACCCTTAAAGCAGCATGCCTCCAGATTCATGGTTATTTTTATGAAAATTTCTTAAATGTATTAAAAAGTAAAATAATGTCATGAGAACAAGGAAAGTAATTTACACATTGTAAATGCCACTGAAAGATAATACTACGAGGGTGGGTCAATATGTAATGCAATATGGAGAAGTATATTTTCTAATTCAGCTCAGATTCTTGTGTTTATGCATGGGTTACAGGTTAAGTAACTTCAAGTGGGTATTATGTTTGAAATTCTGTCAAATTTCGGCTAAACAAAACAAAATCAAAGTACAATGTTAAAGATTCCTTCACATTTAAGTTTCAACTACATGTACTTACCTCCCCTTCAATGGTCCAGGAAGATGAGCCTGTTCCTTGGCTTTCCTCTCAATCTCCTGTTCTCTTTTCATATCGCTGAAGTACAATACAAAATCATTATAAGCAAGAACTATTTGAGCCGCGTCACGACAAAACCAACATAGTGCATCTGCGACCAGCATGGATCCAGACCAGCCTGCGCATCCGCGCAGTCTGATCAGGATCCATTCTGTTCGCTATCAGTTTCTCTACTTCTTAAAAGGTTTACAAGCAAACAGCATAGATCCTGATCAGACTGTGTGGATGCGCAGGATCCATGCTGGTCGCAAACCCATTATGTTGGTTTTGTCGTGACACGGCTCATTTTACATACAAGGACCTTATAAAACAAGTAATTTTATCAAAACTTCCATACTTTCATATTGACTGTACAAATTAAACATAACACTTTATGAATTATTACAATCAGGGATGAGTAAGGTTCTATGATGGCATCCAATTGTTGATATTTATTGGGGGGGGGGGGGGGGGGGGGGGGGGGGGGGGGGGGAAACAACCGCAAAGACAGTCTCAGTATAACATAATCTTATCCTAGGTAAAACTACAGGATTGCTATTTTCATTTACAAACATTTACTGAAGTTTATAAATAGTTTGCCATCATGGTAAAAAGAGTCAAACAGGGTTGACAAGAAAGTCCTTTTTTAATTTACAACTTTTCATTTTCTATATAATCACACATAACAAAGAGTGTATTGCAATGCAGGGGAAAATGTGCCAGTTTCATATTATTCATACATACATGCACATGTATCAGCATCAACTGCAAATAATGTTTATGCATGAAAATTCTTACAAAAGAAATGTAATGATTTTCTTATAAATTAACCCTTACATGTTATTTATCCACAACACACAGATAAACACTATATCTATCAACGTGTAACAGCTGAAAGCTTTGATCTCTTTATATCCTTAACATGTTTCATTTGAAATCAGTTTCTCAACACCTAGATTTAAATCAATTTAAAGATCCTGTATGTTGTAATTAAGGTTGTAACCACACTTAAGTGAAATTTTATATATGTATAATTATAACTATGCTTCTAAAACAATTTTAAAACATTGAAGAATATGTAAAATATGTGCTGCAAATATTTATCAACATTATATGCAATCATTAAAATAAATGCATTCATTTCTAATTGGAAAATTTGACTTAGACTTTATAGGAAATACATTTCTAATTACCTCCCTTTATTAACATGAAATGTAAATTCTGTAATATCTTTACAAACAATGCTTTTTGGAACATACAATATTGATCAATGTTCATTTGAGACCATTATATTTATGATAAAAACCATATTAAAATTGAGTTACAGGATCTTTAAACAATGTACATTAAACATTAATAATGGTACATGAACATTTGGTTCATGAACATTTAAACCTTCTTGAAATCAATGTTGAAATGACTTCACACAATACTGTCCGTTATATGACAGCCTTGATCATTTACATGTACTAGACAAGATGGATTATTTTAAAATCTGGAAAAAGGATGATTCCTTGGAAGCATTAATCACAATATAATAACATGAAAATTGCAAACTTAGTTTGATTGAATCTGTACTTGACCCTTCGGTTTAAGTTAATCCTACACTAAATAGGTCATTTGAGATCCCTTGCAAGCCTAAAAGCACCAGACGGGTAGAGATAACTGAGTATGTGGTTGAGTACAAACAAAATGAAGCTCATATTATCACCTTTATTCATGTTGGAACTGACTTGGAGCATTATTTCAGGCATAAACACAACCTGAATACAATCAACAACCTTCTGAGCAGTATGGTAGCTTCCTTACATGAAATAATTTAACAGCTAGAGGATTCAAATTCAAAGCAGTGAGAGTGAAGAGACAGCAGGCATCAAAAAATATTTCATTTTTCCTGCAAGACGTGTAGCTTCAAAATCCAATGGGCAGGCAATATTTTTCTACATATCCTGCATTAATTTTTCTTTAATTCTACTTGTAATTACAAGAGGATGATGTGGAATTTTCTGGACAGAGACCTTTGTTTTGTTTGCACATGTAAATCCAATTAATTGCAAAGCTCTTTTTAGGAACACTAAACATAGGGTGATACAATATAACTGCTTCATCCATGTCTTAACCAGTACTTACAAAAATTTGCAAACAGGCAGTACAATTGCATATAATTTCAAATAACTCCTTAATCTAACACATATTATAACTGGACTATGTGTATAACAACCATATGCCATGGCATATTTTGGGACAGAAAAATCTCAGGTGCCCCTTCCATTATTTCAGGCACAAGCGGGCACCTATGTAGAATCAACAATCCACTACAACCACTAGCTTGTAAGCTTCCTAAAGAATCCACCTAAAGAATCTAAAGACACTGAAATGGTTCGATCAGAGTCATTGATAAGTTGTCAGCCACCTTACCTTCTTCTTTTTCATTATCCCAATATGATTTTATAATTTTATTCTACTTACACAATATTCTTCTTATAGCAAACATATCCAAACTAAATATCTTATTATATTTAACTGCATAGTTACATTCCATTTCTACATATATATAGCAATTATCTTACTCATTAATTTTGTCCAAAATTCTTTCATGTTCTTTAACTCTTGATTCGAGTTCAGCAAACATAGGGTCCATAAACATCTGTAAAGAGAAAAACATTCTGATATATAAACAATCTTATACTGTAGATTTTCTATTAATTTTTGCAACGTCACATTTTTCTCATAATAAATCTATACAGATTAATGAGGAAATGTGTCTACAGCCTCCGCATTAATGTCATATTATTCAACTTTCAGTCCACTTGAAACATATGTTAAAAGAAAACTGTCAATGCTTTTAGTACGGAGGCACTTTTCCTATATGTTAGATAATGCTCTTCTTAGACTTAGGATATAATAATTATGAGAAATATAATTATCTTGATAATTATTTAAAACAGACAATCAAATCAACGGCTTGGTGTTAAAGGGTCGTAACTCCTTCTTTATTTGATATGAGTTACAACCCTTTCACCCCAAGCCCTCGAAACGCTGTTTCAAAAACATGATATAGATCAATGAACACAAATATTTTCATGTCCACATTCTGTTACAGTTAACCCTTCTGGAAAAAAAAAGACAAGTTCAAACCTGGTCATATATCACCAACATTACCTAACAATATGAAAGTAGAACATAAACAGGCAATATAGCAACAAAAGATTATGTACTGTATGTATGAATAGTTTGTTAACTAAATATTGATCCCTATATATAGAGATAGCTGAAAACATTACAAGCTGTTACAATCACACATCAATACAGTGACCAAACTTTCTTAACAATATACAAAATGCATTAGAATGCAAACTATACATTCACTGCAACACTTTTACTTCTGATTTTATGTAATAACATGGGCGGATTGGCCCTGTTTTGCATCTGGAAAATTACATTATTAACTTGCTGGCAGTGACTGAAACTTAACTTATCTATTCTTTTTATTGTAATCACCATGATCATTATTGTCATTTTTTCATGAGTTGTATAGTCAAAATATATTGATGTGCCAAAGCGAGATTCTGGGATATGTTTGTTCTTGGTCAGAATTGGAGAGATATTGCCCACACACAAAATAGCACAATATCTCATTACGTTGTACAATTAGTTGGGCTTATAGATTAAGAAGTAGTACTCTCATTGAAATACAATGAAATAAATTTCATATTACTCTCTATGTATATATCCGTAAAAGAGACCAAGAGATACGTTATGTAGTCAAACAAATTTGATGGAACACATAATCATCACTTTTTGTGAACAACATCATTTCCTGTATTGATTTGTACATAACACAGTGTAAGAAAAGAAGAGGATAGATATTGTGATTTATAAAATAAACAGCAAACTCCTTCATAAAAAGGAAAAAATAAAATCATATGTTGTGATTTTTCATTTACAATTATAGAAAGTTTAAGTGTACACGGTTTATGCCGCCTCATTAAGTTCTAGATTGTTGTATTTAAAATCTTGTATTTAAAATCTTACTGAGACTTTTATTCATTGCAAAATGCCTTACTTTTGGTGGTTTCACACTCCCTAGAAATTTCTTAACACTTCGTTTTGGTTTTTTTTGTAAACAAAAGATTGCAGTAAAGTATAAATAACTGTCTACTGTCTGGACTTATTTTAATTTTGTATTTATGCATACCGGTACTCTAGGTTTATTTTGGATTTTTTTACATTTTGCACACTTATAATTTACATCATTGAACTGCAATAATGTTTTGTTGTTGCTTTTTTATCATATAATCTATTAAATAATAATAGTAAGTTAAATCAATTATGTCATCCTAGTTCATACTATTGATAAAATGGATTGCAGGTTCTGAGACTTCTTACAAAACCAATGCATAGGGGATTTTATGTCAAGAGTTTGATTTTGTCATGTAATGTTTACATTAAGAACATCTTTGGAGCACATGAGAGAAACAAGATTGCATTTGAGAAAAATGCTATGCCACCGCATTAATACAACACTAAATGGTAGTGTAGGAACAGATTTTTTTTTGTTTCTATACAATTGAAGATTGTCATAATGCATAGATCCCTGACCTATTTAATTCTTATTATCAGATTAGTGATTAAATCTATTGTTAATCCAATAAAAGATCAGAGTAGGAATATATCCATGCACTTGAGTCTAGTGAATTTGGTGGTGAAGGTCATATTTCACACAGCCTAAATTTCATGACTACATCAAAGGACAACACTGTAAGACACTTTGTCAAAATCTAGGTCAGCTGATTTCAAAGTTCACTTTACATCTTAATCTGTGCACATGGTTCAAATTTCATAGCTGTAGATCAAAGCACAAGAAAGTAGGTCACATTATCAAAATCTAGGTCACCTGATATCAAAGTTCAATTTTACAACTAAAACTGTGCACATGGTCAAAATTTCATTGCTGTACATCAAAGGACAAGAAAGTAGGTCACTGTCCCCTTGGTCAAGGCAAAATTTTGACCCAAGGGTTTTATTCAAAACAATCTTGATACAGGTCCACCAAACAACATTTCAAGTCAAATATCTAAGCTGAAGCTTTCTCCCATTCAGAAAACATTTGTTTTATTTTCTGTTTTTACTATGTGTACATAATGAGAATCATGCCCCGGGCAGGGCCAGTTTTGACACCAGGAGAAAAATTGAATAACTTTGGTAGAGGACCTATAGATGATATTATAAAGCAAACATGAAAGCTCTATGCCTTGTACCTTCAGACAAAAATATTTTTTTTTTTCACTAGATATACATAATGTAAATCAATGACCCCCGGGCAAAACCAATTTTGACCCCAGGGCTAAAATTTGAACAATCTTGGTAGAGGTTCACTTCGCAAAGTCTCATGCCATATATTTAAACTATAGCCTTTGTCAATTCAGAGAAGAAGATTTTTCAAGTTTTTTTTTTATACATATAAGGAAATCTAGCGCCTCTGGGGCAGGGCAATTTCAACACTAGGGGCATAATTAAAACAACTTTAGTAGAGGACCCAAAGATGATATTATATACCAAATATCAAAGCTTTAAGCCTTGTACCTTCAGATAAGAAGATTTTTTAATTTTTTACTGTATGTTCATAGTGAAAATCAATGACCCCTAGGGGTGGGGCAATTTTGACCCCAGGGCTATAATTTGAACAATCTTGCTAGAGCTTCACTACACAATGTTTCATGCAAAATATCTTACCTCTAGCATTTGTCAATTACTAGAAGATTTTTTTAAAAGTTTTTACTGTACGTTTTTACTATATACATATAAGGGTAACCAAATGACCCCGGGGCGGGGTCGATTTTGACCCTAGGGCTATAATTTGAACAATCTGGGTAGAGGTCTACCAGACAATGCCTTATGCAAAATATCTAAGCTCTAGGCCTTTTGGGTCTTTACAAGAAGGTATTTTTAGTTTTTACTAATATGTACATATAGTGAAAATCAATGACCCCTGGGGCGGGGCCAATTTTGAGCCCAGGGCTATAATTTGAACAATCTTGGTAGAGGTCTACCAGACAATGCCTTATGCAAATATCTAAGCTCTAGGCCTTTTGGGTCTTTACAAGAAGGGTATTTTTAGTTTTTTACTATATGTACATATAGTGAAAATCAATGACCCCTGGGCGGGGCGGATTTTGACCCCCAGGGCTATAATTTGAACAATATTGGTAGATGTCTACCAGACAATGCCTTATGCAAAATATCTAAGCTCTAGGCCTTTTTGGGTCTTTACAAGAAGATTTTTTAAATTTATTCTTTATAATTCCTTTCCGTTGCATGGCAACCAGATTTCTGCATGGAATGAAAATTCTTTGAACAACTTTGGAAGCCCTTCACCCAAGGATCAATCCTGCCAAGTTTTGGTTTAAAATTGGACTAGTGGTTTTTCACAAGAAGATTTTTTAAGTTCACTATATAATCTATATAACACACACACACACAAACAAACACACACACAGGTGAATCGCTATATGCCACCGCATCGCAGATGCTGCGGTGGCATAAAAACACACACACGATTTTTTAACACAATTTTTTTAAGTATTATTAAAAATCAATAAATCATTCAATATCCCTTGGTTATTTGCATAGTTCATACTCTGACACTGGGACTGTTTACGGGTGTGTTACAGGACAGGATAACTCTTGGTTTACATTCGTTATTCCTTGGTTATTAACATACAGTATATCTTAAGCGATTTTAGCACTTTCCTCTTTGTCATGGCAGACACTTTTAACCGCTAAAGTAAAATAGCGGGGGACATACTATGGTCAGTCACAGTGGCAAATCACCATGTATAAATGCACTTACGATTAATAATATGTCTATACATGACACGATAATTATCCAACAAAAATATTTTTCTGCTTGAGCAATAACTAAACATGTGTAATGGTTTTGTTGACAAAAGATGATGAAAGTTTTTTCTGATCTATAAAAAAGGGTGGAAGTCAATTGAGTGTTGGCACTTCTTTGATGATTCAGCAGTGACTACACGTACGTAAACATCAAAGATTGACAGATTCTTTTAAAGAGCTGACTAGTCATTTGTGACAGGTCATCTCATATGTAAATTTTGTGTATATTATGAAGATACATTTTTTGTTCTTTTTTGTTGCTGTGTAGTTGAAAATACGTTAAAAAACGAGAAAGAAATAATTATAACTGTAATGACATTATTAACAGAGAAAATGAAAATCTTTTGACAGTCAACATAGATTTACTACAATACACATGTATGCATTTTATTTGAAATATTAACTTTGTTTATTATTTTTCAATAGTTTCCAAGGAATTATAAAGTGTAAATAAGCATACATTTGACTTTAAACTGCCTAGCAATCAGGTAGTATAATTCTTTATAGACTACAAAAACGTTTATTTGACACTCTTAATTGAATTTTAATTTAACATAGGTTAGCATGTTGCGACAAACTTTCACTATTCAAAACAAAGCTTTCACTGCATAGAACTTGCATTGTCAACAACTGTGGCAGACCGAGAACGGGAAAATTCAACACAAATATTATCTGTTACAATGTATTTGATTTTTGGGGAAAATATTGCAAATTTACTATATTGTTAGAGCCTTAAATTATTAATATTATGAATATTTATCTCCATTTTATGTGTTTTACATGTTTAAAACACATTCTAACGGCAGTATCAGCAAAAACTAGCACGATCTGTCAATCGCGACCGGAATGACACCACGAAAATAAGAGAACCAGTGTTGCATCTAGAATTTCAAAATTATGGGGGATTGTCCCCCACTCAACTGAAAAATGTGGGGGATTTGAAAAAAATGTGGGGGACATGCATTTACCTAACAATATGACATACCGAAAATAATTCATTTATCTTACATTTAGGCATTTTTAACAGCTATCATAGCCCGGGGTTCTATGATATCACGGTACTTAACGTTTATCGGAAAATATTTAAATATAAATATGATAAATGAATGAGATTTTTCTTCCATCTTATAATTGAACCTTTTCCAGAACTGTTTGTCAAAAAATTATTTCAAAAGAACCAATAAAAATTACATTTTTTAGAATATTTTCAATGTCTGCCATTTTGGGTAATTTCAGGAGGTTACTATGGTATCAAGGTAATCCCCAAAAAAGCAAGTATGGAAGAATAGATTGTTCAAAACTTTCAGGTTAAGTTGTGAAAAACTTCCAACAGTTAACTTGCTATAAAATTAAAACTATATGAGCAGACTATATGTCAGTATATGTGTTTATAACATATTTTAATTGACTGTGTAAAAGTCATTAAGGAAAATGGTAGTCAAATATGAAGGTTTTATAAAATAGTTTTCTTGCTACAAATACATTCATTATTCACCACTTTAAATTTATTGGCAGATGAAAATGAATCTAAGTGTGCAAGTTTTACAAATATTAGCATCATCAAGTGTTGCTTTTACTTGCAGTCACAGAAAATTTAAATACCTTGATATCATAGAACCCTTGATATCATAGGAACTGAGTATATGCTAAACAACGGCAATAAAAAAATAAAATATTGACGAATACTACAATACACACGCGAGATGACCAAGTCGGCTGCTGCACGCGATTTAGTACGTATTTAGTCATAACCGCGAGTGAAAACAAACATGGCTGATGTGTTCAAGATATGATGAAGATAAGAAAGATTGTCAGATGCGCAACTTGGCGCGCATTGACTTCATTAAAATGGGCGATCTGCAAATAATATGCGCAAATCGCGCGGCCTAGATGCAACACTGAGAGAACTCAGTCTTAGATAAGAATGAAAACCCAGGTTTTATCAGGATGTGCTTCACTTCACTTCATTGCATAATGCATGAATACAAGCACGTCAGATTCTTGGCACAAATTTTGGTGAACTTTCCCTTAGGGTTGCCAGCGTTTATGACATGTCACATTATATAAACAGATACCCTGAAGACCTTAAGCTAAAACAATGCCTATTTTTGGTCAGAACTCGGATTATCATTTTAAAATGTAATTTCATGTTTTCTCAACTGTTTTTTGAGTGGTTATTTGCATATGAACTGAATACTCATTGCAACTGTAGATCTCCAATTCATAACTTAGAGTCACCATACCAGTGCTCAACCAGTTTTTCACAAATTCACATAAAAACTCTTTCAGAACAAAAAGTTTGCTGGGAAACTTAATTTTGTTACAAAGCTGGCCCTTTGAAACTCACAATAAGCTAAAACTTTTTAATTACACAGATCAGGATACAATTTACCACGGAGTTGTAAATAGGGTATAAAACCACTACATTTTTCAGGCAACCAAACCAGTGCTCGACCAGGTGGTTTTATCTCTATCAGAACTTTTATTTTATAAAAACAGATATGGCTTTTTATGTTCAACAATTCTATTCAAAAAATATTTTGAAACATTATTGTTTTAGTGTCTATAGATGTAAATATGAGAGCAAATATGATATGAAGGAAATGCTATACATTGACAAATAAAGTGTTAATAAGAGTTTTGGAATTTACATATACTGGGGTGTTTGACATTACTTATTTTCATTTTTTTTTTTTTACTAAAATCACTCTGCAAACATAGTTAAGTGTGATAATTGGTATAATATACAAATGGTCTACGCTTTAAGTGGTGTGTTCCGATTTGTTTCCGTGTTCATAGCCCCTGTTTTTTATGGAAAGCAGGGTTTTGATGAATTTTGGACACCTTTCCTATAGATGGAAATCAATTGGAATCATAAGAGTAAAGGCAATTTAACAAAGTGTTGTCCACATTTGTCCTAAATTATCATTATTTCAGTGTTTTAAATAGTTTTTACTGCTACTTTTATTATAGAAAATGTATTTTTGTACTGTTTAATAGCGAGCTCGATGAGCTGGCCCGAAGGGCCTGCTCGCAAAGCGAGCTTTACGGTAACGCGAGTACCTGCTTAGTGATGGTTTTGAAAACTTTCATCCAAATTACCGAATTGGACACATCGCAACTTTTCGAATTTAAAGATAACGATAAAAACTGAGGAATTCTGACTGAAAACGGATGTGTAGACTGGTCACCCGCGCACGTCTATGGGAACCACAATTGGACAGGGAATCAGAACAACGGAAGCTGTGTATAAAATAACGAATGACAGTTTTAAAATGAAAATTGAAGGCGCCATTTTGTTTGAAAAATCTGATAAATAAAAACATTTTTTTTGTCGAATTTTGTTGTGAAAACTATCTAGAATGAAAGAAAATGGTCTAACTAAGAAAATGAATCCGAACACCAATATCTTTTATTCAGTAGTTAACGCTGTACAGACGTTTAAAGTATTGTTTACGTGACGTCACAATGTAGCACCAAACAGCACGTGCAAAACAATCATATCAAGTACGCTATTTTAATCGTATGTAGCAAACGTTTTAAATTTAACATTTATTTCACTTTTAATAATCTTTATTTCGCTTGAAAAATTATAGAGTGAAATAAAATAAACAAACAAAGTTTAATCAACGTTTCCAAAACACGTTATTCATTTAACGACAGGGGCGGAGCCAAATTTAACACAGTACGTATGACGTCACACGCACTCGTCACTGCATTTGAAATAAAAATGAGCGATTATTTCGAATACTATTTCACGTTAAAAGTACATCGAGATCGCTTTGAGGCTTTGCCTTTTTCATATTATTGTCTGCAAAATGGCCAATCTTCTAACAAACTTGGAGTACTTGTACATGGTGTAGAGGTTACAGGTCAGGTACAGAATAGCACACACAAACTCCCAAGTTTTTCCACTTTAATGCATAAATCGTACACAAATAGAAGTATTGGTCGAGCATTGGGCTGGTCGAGCACAGATACTGTGACTCTAATTATTGTCATAATTAATGATTATCAGTTGTGTTTCCAAAGAAACTGTCAAAACAAAATTCACCTGAAACTGGGCATCAGCTCCCGTCTGTTCTGGGGGATTATATGGCGGTGGTGCTTCAGCCTCCATTCCTTCTTTAGTTGGCAATTCAACTTCGGCACTGTTTATTCCAGCTTCTTCTGCTTTTTCTGCCATGTTTGTTTCTAAATTTGTAATTGACGCAGCAAAAAATTTATCCACGCTGGCAGTCCCCGGAAATGGTTTGTTTGTCGTAAAAAGAACTGCCAACGAAATCCAAAACGATAAAAAGCTTTTAAGTTACGAAAAAAAGTCAAGTATAAAATAAAGATGTATGTTTTCACAGAGAAATTTTATTCAATGTGTAGAACAACTAAGTAGATCTATTCGAAAATCGTCCAAACATGTTTACGACAATATGCAGTTGATGCCGAAACGTGGCAACCAGGATCTAACTACGATGTGAACAGGTTAGAGCATGATTAAGAAAGGAATATCACGCTGTGCTATTTAAAACTTTAGGGGCTTGAACTATATATAGTACTTTGCATTCTGAAAGCTTACTGAAGAACTTCATTCTTAAAGTCCTGCAAATTTACACAGTTTAACTTGAGACCGGTGTTTGTGTTAAATTACCCTCGATCAATTTGTCCGACATTTTCTTATTTTTATGAAAATAAATTGAACATAATTTAAAATGCGGTTTCTTGGGCTAATACGATCCATTCTATATTTTAGAATATGAAAGTAATAGGGTTGTCATTGAATATCGCGATATCAATATATATCATCAATATTTCGTTTCGTTTCGTTCACAAACTCCTCAAAGTGATTACCTCCCTTGGCAGAATTGTAATCAATGCCTTCAAAGACGTCACATGATGATGAAAGTCACATGACGTAACGTCGAAATTCAAATGTAAATATCGACAGTTAGATAGAAAATCTAACGTCATTTTTCTCTTTCTGTTTTATTTTTAACTTTTAGTGCCTACGTTCGATCACGGATTTATATTACAAGGATCGGACACTCCCAGTTAACCCTATATAAATGCTTAAATATCTTGTCGTGCACCCGATAAAAGTACATCGATCGATAATTTACCGGCGCTAAGCGTAAATGCCCGTTCGCAACGGATACCTACTTTACAAAATATCATACAGCTTTTCCATTTATTATCCGATTTTAGAAATTTAAAGTTTATTTTGAAGAAAAATACTTGTTTAATTCAAATATCTAATTTATTTTTTAAAGGTACAGATCATTTGTCCGCAACGACGATTAAAAATTAACTTGACGAAATCCGCGGTAAATTTACGTTTTTATATAAAAAGCAGGTATTTGAAAATTATTATTACGGTACCATAGTAATTTCAATTTCAAAATAAAAAAAGAAGCCGATGTTAGTTATTCACAGATGATCAAAAATGCGATATTTAAGATTGATTGGGTTATGTAGTCAAATTTATTTATGACAATTGTTTTACGGGTAATGAATGCATTGCGGCCTTTACAATTCGCTCAACACGTGAAGAAAATTATTCATTTTTTTTAGTACAAAATATTGCCGAGATTGTCAATATTGCAATATTCATAGAATAATTAAATTTCATTCATCATTTATATCATTACTTTTTTGTAAATCTGTTTTCAAATGTCGGTGCAGTGAAGTAGACAATTATCGTAACAGTAAAGTACTCTCGTGTGGCTGTCTCGATTCCGGCCTTTTTAATGTCACTCGTAAATTTAATCCGTATATTTTAATTATTCTTTTTATTTGAATGCCTGTAAAAAGATATATCTGAAACTTTTTATTGTAAAGCTAGAAAAACAATAAAAATCTGTACAGTTTGAGTCAGTATTTTGCGAAATAAAAGTAACTTTTGATTATTTTTTACACATCGCTTAAATTTCCATCAAGTTTAATTATTTTTGAATGGGGTAATTACCAGGTAACAAGCGATAATTGAAAAAGTTTATTTTCAAACTTTCATTACCAGGTTACATGTGATAATTGCAACACTCAATCTTCAAAAACAAATAGAATTTGAATGTATATTTTGTATCTGCGCAGTCTCACGTGTGATAAGAAAATGATTCTGAAGAGGATATATATAAATACAATGTAAATCTATTTTCTTTATTAACATTTATAAATGAAATTGAAAATAAACAACTTAATTTGTATAGTCCTTTCTTTAAAAAATAATGAAAATAAATATATGGGAAATAAAACATTTGACGTCAATTATGAAGGATAACTATGGAAAAAAACCAGTTTCAAAATAAAAAATAATATTATAAAACAGCTGTTCTGTATGCCACTAAAAATTTCTTCCTTGCCAACCTAATGAATTCATCTATATATGAACGCTTGTCTAAAATGATTTGAAAATATATTTAAATACTAATTAGTAGAGTAGTTACTATATTTATACTAATATACAGGTAATCAAATAAAAAATGTACAAATCATTTGGAAATAATTCACAAAAATAAAGACACATTTCAAACATGAATTTCTTTAAAAGTATTTTAGCAATCAAGAAACCTTTTTTTGCAATGCCACCATTAAACTATGTAAAAAATAATTATCTTAATCTGAATCGCGGTAATAATTTATGCTTGAAGTAAAAGGGCGTCAAAATGTAGAAAGAATGCCTAAACAATAGGCGAATATTTTTTAAATTAGGTACTTTTTAAATAAGCGTTGCAGCGTTATATCGGCATATTTTCTTATATAAATACTTTAGCGACACAAAATAATATTGTATCAATGCATTCATATGTGTATAATTTTTCACAAAGCTGCAATTACACCACATACTCTAGTGAAAATATGTCATATTTCGCACTCTGCGCGTTCCGCCCACCTTTATCCGATTCCGCGCATGCGCGCAACGGGACTTTTAGCTAAACGAAAGTGTCCGATCCTTGTAATATAAATCCGTGGTTCGATATAGTTTATCAAAAAATTATCGAAAGTATACAAAATAACGAAAAATAAATTCAAAAGCTAAAAAATATAAAATATCAAAATATCGTCTCGGTAGAAAATAATCTCATAATTTTTAAAATTATTTCTAAATTTCATATTATTTATTTATTTATTCATAAACATTGTTAAATAAATGAGAGAAAACTTATCTGATAGATAAAAGCAGTAGATAAAACAATTTTTGAAAAAATATAGTATATCAGAAATTCTGATATATAGGGACCTTGGTGGCAGAGATCTTCGCCGAAGAATTAAGGGGAGATCACTGTGTGGAGATTGTTTCGTTCAAAGCCTTGATAATGGCCGTGTTGTCACTTCGGTATTTACAGCTAAACTCTGGTATTTTCGATTACGGTAAATACTCTCAAGTAGGGTTATCATATAATTTAATAAGGATTATGAAAAGGAAAAAAAAAATCTTTTGGATGAAAAAAAAAAAAAAAAAAAATTAAAATCTTTTGGATGATTTGACAAATTCATTTGCAATGTTTGACAACTCTTGTCTATGGTCTTTGAATTGGTCTTCTTGTATGTCTGACAGCAACAGTTCTTTTGTAAATACACTTATTCCTGTCTTTAAGAATATTTCTTTCTTCAGGTTTTCTCTTGATGTCTCGTACAGGGTACAGTCCTCTATAAAATGTGTTACTGTCTCCACTTCTCCACAATTACATAGACTTGTGTTTTTAGCCCCAATCTTGTTCAAATAATCATTGAGGCAATATCCACTTTGTAGTTGAAGTAACTGTCTTTGGTTGCTCAAGCCATGGAAGTTAATTTTTTGGGGTTTAACTTGAGGCTTGAGTCCATAGAGATGCCTGCCAGTTTCAACAATTTCCCACCTTCTCTGCCATTTAATGCGGACTGATTCTCTAGCTGAGTGGCGAATGTCACTTTGACTTGTTATAATGAGTGAATCTTCTGTTTCCATTTCCTCAGCTTCTTTTGCTGCTTCTTTTGCAAGTCTGTCAGCCATTTCATTCCCTTTTATGCCAGCATGACCAGGAGTCCAATCAAAATTAACAGTAACATCAGCTAATTCAAGCTCTTTCCTCAACTGAATTATCTCTGTTGACAGGAATTTGTGTGTCTTATTTTCCCAGGCAAGATCAATGATACCAACAGCTGATTGACTATCACTAAGTATTTTTATCTTTTTTATTTCAAATCTTCCTATCTCAGTAAGTAGGGCTTGAAGTGTTATTTTAATGGCAACCTAGAATTGATGATAATTTTGATACTGGTTGTTTCAGTTCTATAACTTCTGTGTTTGGAAGAAGAATGCAGGCTCCAGCACCACATGGACCTGGATTTCCTCTACAGGAACCATCAGTAAATGCTACAGCTGTTTTGGTATCTACATCAAAAAGAAGTGATGAGATGTGTTGTCTTGCATCTTCTTCTTGTTTAAGAGTTCTTGATTTGGAAGACCCTAGATTGTTCCAGTAATCTGGTCTGGTTCTAGATGGTTGCAGGTATTCAAGATATGAAAACTCTGGTTCAATACTGTTCAGTGTGATGGTGGTTAATGATTTCATGTCTTCTACCTGTGTGAGCATGCAAAAGAATGGAGATTGGAATTTTTCTCTAACTTTTCCATATCTATCTTGACAGCTTTTTAGACTTTTTGCAATGTTTTGCCTGATATTTTTTGCAATTATTTTCCCGCATTCTCGAATGCTCAGTTCTTCTCGCCTCAAATCAAGTGGAAGAACTCCAGCCAGTACTTCAACTGCATCTTTACTGGCTGTGTTGTGTAATCCAAGGCAATAAGCTAAACCTTTCCTTTGTATCTTGTCCAGGGGCTGACAGTTGGCAATCTGCCAAACAGGGACTGCATACTCCAACTGAGGTAAAACCAAGCTTGTATAAAGATTTATCATATTTTTGACACTGATCTTCTCTGTTTTGGCTACTGACATCAAGGAAGCCAATGCTTTAGTGCCTTTTCTTTCAGTGTATTCTATATGCTCTTTGAATGCCAATTCAGAATCTAAGATAACACCTAAAATTTTTGCTTTATCTTTCTGTTGCAATACTTTCTTGTCTAAGCAGATCTCTATTTGGCCTAAGTTTTCTTTTTTCCTATTAAAGATGGTGTATTCAGTTTTATCTAAATTTAATTTCATTCTCCATTTCTTTGTCCATGTGTTTATTGTTGTTAGGTCTGTATTGATTGATTTCTCTAAATCATGTTTATCATTTCCAGACATCCAAATAGTCCCATCATCTGCAAATTTGATACTATTGCTTTTTATGTTTTGAAATATATCAGTTAAGTATAGATTGAACAAAAGAGGGGAGAGCACTGAGCCTTGTGGTA